GTGTGGGTCAAGGTGTCTTGGATTTTATGGCTGTTTGTTTAGCCAAGTTGAGGTGTAAAGGAGTGGTATTGGCAGGGTTGTGGCATGAGGTTTTTGGCCAGGGATGAAGGAAAAATAAATGTAGTTTTGGGTTTATTATTTTGGATATTTTGGGGTTTGGATTGGATGAGAATGGCTGGGCCTTTTAAGTTGGAATTGGGCTCAGGGAAATTATGGCTATGTGGCGGGTTTTAGGATTGATAAGTTCGGTCCAAAAGGAATCATAACACTTAGCCATTATTCCATTAATTTGTTTAACGACTTTAGAGTCGTTGGTAGTCGCCCGGGGTATATCGATAGCTCAAGTATGTTCTCATGCTTGAATAGAGAGTTGGGGTTCTAAGGTATATTTCAAAACGGGCCTTTGAATTGCATGACTCCGGGTCGTGTGGAGAGTTGACAATCCTCCATATCGTGGTTAAGGAAATGAATCGACTCGGCCTTTGATTGATTTTTTTATTCTTAAGTGCGTAAGTTACGTAATATATTGTCTACGTGCCTATTATACGTGTAATGTTCAACTCGTGTTTGTTCTCTTTTTTCATTTTGTTTCGGGTTCTTGGTGGTGTTTCTTGGGTTACCTTTGTTGGAGGAGATGAATACCTTTTGAGCTTGTTTTCCCCCATTTAATCAAAAAACCAAAAAAATAAGAAAATATAAAAAACCAAAAAAATATTTACTTTTTATTCAAACCCCCCCTTTGTGTTGTGTTTAAGTTATATTATAAGTTCTTTGTTTATATAAGTTATATTTATAAGTTTTTATATTTACTTAGTTATAAGTTTTATACGTCTTATCATACGTGTATTAGTTAGTTTGCTTTTATTTGTTTTATTTTCGTGACAACGTGTTTGCATGCTAATTTGATTACAAAAGTACAAACTTTCTCCGTGGGATCGACCCTTACTTGCTCTAGCTATAGTTTTTATTTGATTATATCTTGGGGGTTAGTTAAGGATATTTATAAATTTTTAATTTGTTTTGGACCGCACGACAAGTCCCCAACAAAGATCCTTCGAAGCTTGACTCCCGAATGGCGCTCCAAGGCCGATGCCATTTACGAGTCAATTGGCGTCTCCAACGTCACAATTGATGGATTAAGAGGTAATCTCAAAACTTACGAATCTACTATTCTTAACCCATCATTGGACGAACAAAAGAAAAAGGGAATAACTCTCAAAGCCACCAAGGAAACCGGTGGAAGATGTTTCAAGCGACGATGACAACGAGTTTGGACTCGTCATCAAGAAGTTTCACAAATTCATGAAGAAGGAATTTGAGTGGAAGGGAAGGAAGCACGACGGTCCTCCAAAATGCTACGGCTGTGGCGAGATTGGCCACATCAAGCCGAGGTGCCCAAAAGTCAAGCACGGCAAGGACAAACCCGGCTTCAAGAAGAAAAGAGCGTACATTTCTTGGGGTGGCGATTCCGGCGACGAATCAACCAACCAAGAGGAGGGCGAAGCTGCAAACCTCTGCCTTATGGCGCACGGAGACCAAAGCAACGACGTCCAAGAGGTATGTACCATTTCTTCCGACTCTTATACTTTTGAAGAAATGCAAGAAGCACTTCATGAACTTTATGAAGAATTTGTTAGCGCTTCTAAAACAAATAAATCTTTAAAGAAACGTATTTCTACGCTTGAAAACGATTTTGAAAAATTGGAAAAAGAAAATGAAAAACTAAAACAAGAAAACAATTTTAACGGAAAAAGAAGCGCTGACAAACCGGAAAGTTCCTCAAGTGAATGTGAATCTTGTAAGGGTTTAAAAGAACAAGTCACTAAACTTGAGAGCACGGGCAAGAGGTTTAATACTCCGCACAAAGATTTAAATTTACTCCTTGACACTATGCATTTTTCTAAGGAAGGAATAGGTTTTAATAAAAACGAAGCTAAGGATAAAGAAAACGTTGAGCAACCACCTAGACAACCACCTAAGGCTCAACGTATGAAACTTAAAATCAGGATTATAGAAAACGTAGTCAATCTAAGGACACTAGACAACCTAGACTAAAACCTAGGAATGAAAATGTTCATAGTAGACAACCTAAGAAAAATGATTTTGTGCATAAAACCGATTTTTCTCAAAATAGAAGAAATAATGTTAGAGCACCTAGAAAAGGTCAATTTCAAAACTCTCAAAGACCATCTTTTTCACAAAATAGGAACAAAATGGTTAGACCCTCTAACTATTATGAACCTATGCACATGTACAACCCCAACGTTCTTTGCCATTATTGTAATAGGATAGGCCATATTGCTCCCGTTTGTTACACTAGGCATAGGCACCTATCACAAAATCAAGCACACTACCATCACACACCTAACACACAAGGACCCAACGTAATTTGGGTACCTAAAACTCATTGATTTGTTTCATAGGTGTGCTTGAAGGCATCAAGTGTACTTTGGTACCTTGATAGCGGATGCTCCAAGCACATGACCGGGGATGCATCCAAGTTTCTCCAAATTAAACCCGCTAAAGGAGGAAACGTAATTTTTGGAGACAATAGCAAGGGAAAGATTATCGGCATTGGTTCGATTCACTTGAAAGAATACACGTTGAAGACGATGAGGAAGACACGCCATTATACATCAACCCGCAACCACAACCTGCGGAAACACCTCAAGTGATGGTCGAAAATGAGGATCAAGCGGACGAAGAAGAACACGAGGAAGCCCAGGAACAAGAGGAAACCGAGCTTCCCGTCGCTTGGAGAACGAACAAGAACCATCCACTTGACCAGGTAATCGGCAGCATCAACCGCGGGGTAAGTACTCGAAACTCACTTAGAGACACTGTAGGACAAATGGCTTTTGTTTCTCAAATTGAACCTACAACCATTTCCGAAGGAATAAACGATGAACATTGGACCTTGGCTATGCAAGAGGAGCTAAACCAATTCAAACGAAATGACGTTTGGGAATTTGTGCCAAGGCCCGATGATCGTACGATTATTGGTACGAAATGGGTGTTCCGTAAAAAACTTCATGAAAATGGAATATAATCACTAGAAACAAAGCTAGGCACGTAGCTAAAGGCTACAATCAAGAAGAAGGCATTGATTTTGAAGAAACTTATGCACCCGTAGCACGTTTAGAAGCTATACGTTTACTTCTTGCTTTTGCTTCGTCTATGGATTTTAAACTTTATCAAATGGATGTTAAGAGTGCCTTCCTCAATGGTTTTATTCAAGAGGAAGTGTATGTTGACCAGCCCCCGGGGTTTGAAGACTTTGAGTATCCCGACCACGTCTTCAAACTCAAGAAAGTGCTCTACGGTCTTAAACAAGCACCCCGTGTTTGGTACGAACGTTTGAGTAAATTTCTTTTGGATAGTGGTTTCCAAAGGGGAAAGGTTGACACTACACTTTTTATGAAGAGTAAAAACAATAACATCCTTTTGGTTCAAGTTTATGTAGACGATATTATATTCGGTGCTACTAACGAGTCTTTGTGCAAGGAATTCTCAAAGTTAATGACAAGCGAGTTCGAAATGTCAATGATGGGCGAGCTCACGTTCTTTTTGGGACTCCAAGTCAAGCAAATGAAAGATGGCACGTTCATTTGCCAAACTAAATATTGCAAGGAGCTCCTAAAACAGTTTGAAATGGACAACGCCAAAGCCATGGCGACCCCGATGAGCACATCCGACCATCTTCACAAAGACGAGAAAGGTAATGAAGTAGAAGTAAAAAAATATCGAGGTATGATCGGATCCCTTCTCTATCTTACCGCTAGTAGGCCGGATATCATGTTTAGCGTATGCCTTTGCACAAGGTATCAATCGTGTCCGAAGGAATCACACTTAACGGCAGTGAAACGGTTCATGAAATACCTTGTCGGTACGAGTAACGTTGGACTGTGGTATCCAAAAGGCTCTTCGTGTCATCTCGTTGGTTATTCCGACTCGGACTTTTCCGGTTGCAAATTGGACTGTAAAAGTACGAGTGGGACTTGCCACTTACTTGGTAGCTCTCTTGTCTCATGGTTTAGTAAGAAACAAGTCAGTGTTGCGTTATCCACAACCGAAGTGGAATACGTCGCCGCCGGTAGTTGTTGTGCTCAAATCCTTTGGATGAAGCAACAACTCGTGGACTATGGCCTTAGTATCAATCACGTTCCTCTTCGTTGTGATAATACTAGCACCATAAGCTTGATGAAGAACTCCGTTCTTCACTCAAGGACGAAACACATTGATATTAGGCATCATTTCATTAGAGATCATGTTCTCAAAGGTGATGTCGAAATTGAGTTTGTTGAAACACACAACCAATTAGCCGACATTTTCACAAAACCTTTAGAGAAAGAGTCGTTCTTCTGCATTCGAAGTGAACTCAGAATCCTTGACTCCACGATGATCTAAGTTGTGCATTTTAACTTGTTAAACATTTACTAACTTAAGCATCGGAGAACTTTTTCTTTTTTGCAGGTACCCCGTTCATAAAATCAGGGGGAACCATGCAAACAGCGCTGTAAGAAGGACAACATCATTGTTCCTACAGCGCTGTTCGGGAGACCAACAGCGCTGTTGAAGGAAACACCATCAACCAACTTGGGCCAACAGCGTTGTACAATACATCACCAGCGATGTCACAGGGAGCCATCTTACCTTTTGTTTTCAAAAATCTTTTCAAACATTGCTGTAGTGCTTTTCAACATCGATGTTTCTTTAAAACCCCAAGTTTTCAATCAAAACCAGAAAGTTTTACAACAGCGATGTACATGATAGAAACATCGCTGTCCATTTTTACAAATTTTTTCCCTATCGTAAAACAGCGATGTAGGGAGACCCAACAGCGATGTTTTAATGGATTCAAACCCTTACATAGTTCCAGAAAGTTTTGGACCATCGATGTAGGAAACCCAACATCGCTGTCCATTTGACACATGTTTTTTAACACTTAACGCACAACAGCGCTGTACGAAGGCACAACAACGTTGTCCCAACAGCAATGTAGCCTTTGGAACATCACTGTTCAGGTTGATTTTTTCAAAAAAATATCTATTGGCAACTGCATTAAATGCTCCAACAGCCATATTTTTGAAAATCTGGACGTTGGGAACCCAATTCCCTATATATTTAGACTCTATCTCTTCACTTTTACATACACAAACACTATCTCCTTCCTTCCCCTTGCATATTACATCTTCTCTATAATTTTTTCTTGAAGAATTCTTCATCATGGGCAAAGACAAGAGCAGGGCTGCTACATCCGGGAAATCCAAGGCAAAATCTCAGGCTCCAACGACAACTTCCGAAGAACGCCTCTACTACGGTGACGGGTCGTATCTCTGGTTCGATTCTGAGGAGGAGCGCACCCGCTTTCTCACTTTCTTCTCCAAGCAGGTTGTGGCTCCCAGAGCGCTTCCCGGAGTTGCAAGGCTATGACTTCCTCGACGGGCAGCTTCACCAAACCGGCCTATGTCCGTTCGTCTCCCGGACTCAGAAGGAGATCAACCCGGCGCTGATTCGGGTCTTCTACTCGAATCTCCGGCGTGATGACAACGCCATTGATGGTGATGAGATGGACGTTGACGACGACGAGGAGGAAGACGAAGACAAGGCCGCCCGTAGAATTTCTCTCTTTTTTAATTATTCAATTGTCGTTTTTTTAAATTAAGTTGCTTCCGTTGTACTCCGCTCTTTCCCAATTCAATAAATAAAAGTTATCTTTTATCTTTTTGTTAATGTCAAAAGGGGGAAGAAAAGGGCTATGCATGTACTATGGGGGAATGCTTCCAAAAACGGGATCGTTTGATTTTAAAACGACTATTGGCTTTTGAGCACAAATTAAGGGGGAACTCCTCCACACTTTTTTAAATCAAATACCCATTAGTATGCATATCCCCGTCTTGTTTGCCATTATCAAAAAGGGGGAAATTGTTGGAACACGGGTTTACGCCTTTGTCGTACTAAACCGTGTTCGTTTTATGACAGGTTTTGATGATGCCAAACTGCCGTGAAAACAAGATTAAGCTGAGCAAATCAAAGGCGAAGGAACATGGCATGACGAATTGAAAACCAAGAACCAAGAACGAAGACTTAGAATTTATTGAGTCGGTCTTAATGTGATCAAGACCGACACAAGCTTCCAAAACATGGCTCTCTACGCTCACTTCACTAAAATACGCTTTTGCATATTCAAAAATGTTTTTCACAAGTTTAAACAAGCCTAAAACACTTGGTGTTCGCCCAAACAAAAAACCAAGCCATCCGGTGTTCGGTTTTCAAAAACCGGCGTTCGGCATTCGGTTACTGGCATTGGTTTTTGGCGTCCGAACCAATCAATTGGTTTTCAACATTTTATGATTGGTTTTTACTTCTGGGCATATTTAAATAGTTCTCAAACAAAAACACTTCAAAAACCACCTTTCGTTTTTGGTCGTTTAGTAAAAACCATGCGAAACGGCGTAAACTTGGCTAGCCGTGGTTTTTATGTAAATGACGTGGTTTTCAAGATTTCTTACTTGATTACTAAGCAAAATGCATTAAACAAATGTTTTCAATACTTGGTTTTTACTTTGGAGAACTTAGACTTTTGACATCGGCTAATGACATGACTAAACCAACCATGGGTCTGGCTAAACCAGCCCAACAGCGATGTTGGAGTAACCAACCACGCTGTCCGGCATGGGCAGCTGAAAACCATGGTTTAGCGCTAAGTCTTCCAACAGCGATGTTGGATGTTAGACATCGCTGTTGAGACAAGGTAGGGTTTCCAGAAACATCTGGAACAGCAATGTATAGACTACCCTACATCGCTATCCAACCTAAGCAAAAAAGAAATGCCTTGGTAGAAAGTTTTTGGACAGCGCTGTTGACCCAGCAACATCAATGTCAGGCCAATTCCTTCCCCTTCAAAGTCAGGCTTGAACAGCGATGTTCAAGTAATGAACATCGATGTAGCCACCTGACCGTTGGTAGGAATTTATGGCTAAAACTTTCCTTGTTTGGAAGTCAACAGCCAAAACAGCGATGTAGGGGTTTTGGACATCGCTGTTGGCTTGACCGTTGCTTCACGATTTTCAAAAACTAAGCCTAGAACAGCGATGTCCAATTCATGGACAGCGCTGTCTGGCTGATTTTCAGCAGATCCAATTTTAATCAAATCCCACAAATTGTGCCAATCACCCCTTAAATGTTTTGATCCGTTGGAGCCTACTTTGGAACTATAAAAAGGGGTGTTTGGGTCTGCTTTACACATAACATTACTTCACAACTCTTATTCTCTCATTGCATATCATTCATACATTATTCATAGCTTTTCGAGAGCCATTTTTGTGAAGTTCATGTTGTGTTCTTGAGCGTTCTTAGTTACTCATTATCCACTCTAAAAGAGAGTATTCTTCTTGAGTGATTTAGTGTTCTTAGACACTTGATAAGAGAAAGTTTTTCTCTTGTGTAGCTCGAAGGAAGGGTTGTTTCCTTCGAAGGGTTGTTGAGGTTCGTGTGACTCGAACTCTCAAGATGTACGAGTTTGTTAAGCACCGTTAACCTTAACGTTGATAGTGTAGCTCGAGAGAGTCTCTCAGGAGGCTGGACTAGCCACACGTTGTGGTGAACCAGGGTAAATGTTGGAACACACTTTGTACGATAAACTAAAGTCGTGTTCATTTCTGACAGGTTTTGATAATTGCCAAACCGCCGTGGATATAAAGAGTTTCGTTGAATAACTCAAGGCGTGAAGAATGGCTTGGAACAAGACCTAAAAGACTCAAGGACAAGATCAAGAATTGAAGACTTAGTCGAGTCGGTCTTTTGTAATCAAAACCGACAATAAATTCAAGTCTCGGTTCTCAAAAAGTCAAAACAATTTTTACAAATCATAAAATATTTTTTGTGCATCAAAACAAACATTTTTGATGATTTCTTTTATTGTTTAAATCCCTGGTCCTTGCTCAGAACCGAAACCACCTAAGTCGGCTTTCGGCGTTCGGCTTTCGGCGTTCGGTTTTTGGCGCCCGAACCAACTCCGTGATTTTCAATATTCAAAACCCTGTTCTGACCTATGAGCATTTTTAAAATGTTCACAAATAATTATTTTATAAAAACCACTTTTGTATCTTGGTCAATTGGTCTAACACGTGAAAAACGGTCAAAACCGTACGCACGTGTTGTACGACCTTGGAGACTTGGTTTTTACCAAACAAGTCTTGTTTTCACTATTTTATACCATATACAATATTTTTCATCTCGGTTTTTCAAAACGGGTTTCAACTGGCTAGACTTTAGCTGGGTGATAATCGATTATCACCTTAGTGACAATCGACTATCAGCCCCTGCAGCTTTGAACTTCCAATGTTCTGAAGCACGCAATAATCGATTATCAGTCTTTGCAGCCAAAACCCAGAATCTTCTGAGAGGACCAATAATCGATTATCACTTGTTGACAATCGATTATCTGGGTTACCGTTGTCCTCCAACGGATAGAATTTTAAATTTTTGGACAAGGAATCTTTGGATAATCTATTATCAAGCTTTGACAATCGACTATCACCCTGTGTCTCTGAAAAATTTGTCTTCATCCTGTTGGAAACTCTAGCAACGGGTTTATCCCATTTTGGGCTATAAAATGGCACCCAAATCCTCTCATTTTACACACAATTGTTCAACATTTCAATACTCCTTCATTGCATAAGCATTCCTATTTTTCTTAGCTATTTGAGAGCCAATTCTTGAAGAAATTGTCGTGTTCTTTAGCGTTTACTAGTTCACTCATATCTACTCTTTGTGAGAGTTTTATTCCTGAGTGTTTAAGTGTTTTCATACACTTTAAGGGAGGTTGTTCCCTTGTTGTAAACTCGAAGGAAGTTCCTTGTTCCTTCGTGAGAAGTCTTGGAGTGCGGTATCTCCGAGCAAAGGTGTTGAGGCTCATGTGACTCGGGTTCTCAAGTTGTATCGGTTCGTTAAGCACCCTTAAGCTTAACGGAGTTAGTGTAGCTCGAGAGAGCCTCTCGGGGGGCTGGATTAGCCACACCTTGTGGTCAACGAGGATAAAATTCGGTGTGCTCCTTCCTTACGCTCTTTACTTTAACGCTCTCGTTTTAATTTCCTGCGATTTTGTTTTAAACGCTATTCACCCCCCCTCTAGCGTTGGGTCTTTTTTCTAACAGTAAAAACGGTGTGCCTCTTCCTTGCTCTTTACTTTACGCTTTTAATTTTTTTATTCATGCATCATTTTCGTTTCAAACGCTATTCACCCCCCTCTAGCATTGGGATGTTTTTCTAATAGATACCGAAAATAGTGTAAACATCATTTCAGGCTTCACGGGAGATATAGTTGAAGTAGAAGGATCCATTGTCCCGCTGGTTGAACTAGGCACGGGGGAGAAAAGTGTGAGGAAGAAGATGCAGTTTATCGCTGTGGACATCAAATGTGTCCATAACGCCATACTGCGGAGACCGGGCATCAACCAAGTCCAGGTCGTGATCTCTATGCTCCACCTATGCATGAAATTCTACACACCGAGTGGTGTGGACGAAGTCCGGGGAGATCAGAGAAATGCACGGGAATGCTACGCCTGGGCAGTCAAGAAGATGATGAAGGGAGTCAACATTATCTCACAAGAGATAACAAAGGAGGAAACCCAGGAAAGAATCGAACCGAAGGCTAATAGTGTGGAGATTGAACTCCACCCGGGCGATAATGGGAAGGTGGTGCGTATAGACGCAAATATGCCTAAAGATCTGTGAGAAGAAATTACTCGGGTTCTTGCTCCAAGAGTACGCGGGTATCTTTGCCTGGAGCATAGCGAACATGCCGGGAATTGATCGCTCAGTCAATTGCCACCCGCTGGCTGTGAAAGACGGATCAAAATCGGTCAGGCAAAATTAGCCGTATCTCGCGAGCGACCACCGAGACTTTGTGCTGAAAGAGGTTAAAGACCTCCTTAGTGTTGGCAACATTCGGGAAGTGAGATATCCCGAGTGGCTAGCCAATGTGGTGCTTGCCGAGAAAGGCGATACGTGGAGGATGTGTGTAGACTATACACACTTGAATAAAGCTTGTCAGATGTACTCATACCCCTTCCCAAGTCCAGATCAGATGGTGGATGAAATTGCCGGATGCGAACTCTTGAGTTTCATGGATGCCTTCAAGGGCTACCACCAAATCTACATGGTAAAAGAGGATGAGGAGAAAACACCTTTCCCCACCCCGAGGGCACCTTTGCTACCGGGTGGTGGCATTTCGTCTGAAGAACTCGTGGGTGATGTACCAACGCATACGTTGATGACTTGCTGATAAAGAGCCGGGTATCGGGAGACCACGCGGCCGACATGAGGAAATCCTTCGGAATCATGGCAAAGTACAACCTTTGATTGAACCCCAAAAATGCGTCTTCGCAGTTCACACTGGGAAGTTTCTTTGGTTCATGGTGAAGAAGAGAGGGAATGAGCCTAATCCGGAGAAAATCAAGGCCGTTACGGAGATGCAAGCCCCAGCTTCGGTGAGGGATGTGCACAAGTTGACTGGGCACCTGGCGGCCCTCAAGCGTTTTCCCTCTCGATAAGTGGAGAGATCTCTACCTTTCTTTATAGTCTTGAAATAGGCCAATGCCTTTGCATGGGGCGAGGAGTGTCAGGAAGCGTTTGAGGAGCTGAAAGAGTACTTGGGGTCAGATATTGTGTTGTCCAAACCTTAATCGGGTGAAACATTGTATCTGTTCTTGGGAATTTCTCCCCATTATGTAAGTTCTCTACTAATAAGGGATGATGGGGCTCAATATCCTATTTATTACATGAGCAAAGCACTTAACGGGTCCGAACGTCGGTACACAAATATGGAAAAAACAACATATGCTCTTTTCATCACTGCCAAAAAATTAACATCATATTTTCAAGCGCACAACGTTGAGATGCTCACAGATCAACCCTTGGGTGCAGTCCTGAGGAGCCCGAATTCCTCCAGGAGGATGGTCAATTGACCCAATTCAACATCAAGTACTAGCCACGATCAGCGATAAAAGGTTACACATTGGCAGATTTCCTAGTAGAGATGACTGGGATGGAAACGGAACAACCAACTGCACAACCACAAGAACAATGGTGGGAGATGGCAGTGGATGGTGCCTCGGGACCCAGAGGATACGGTGGTAGAGTGGTCTTCACCACCCCGGAAGGATTCAAAATATACCATGCTCTCGTCTTCAACTACAAGCTTACTAACAATGAGGCAGAGTATGAAGCGCTAGTTGGAGGACTTCGTCTCGCCCAGGCGCTAAAGATAAGCTGGGTCTCTATCAAATCTAACTCTAGCCTCATTGTGGGGAAGGTAACCAGTACGTACCATGGAGGCCCGGGAAGGAAGAATGGTGCAGTATAAAAACATGGTGCTGGGCCAACTAAAAGGGTTCACTAAGTTCAAGACTAATCGGATACCCCGGAAGGAGAACGCTGATGCTGATCTCCTCTCGAGGTTGACACAATCAGCGCCAGAGCATGTTTCAAAGCTTGCCCCCGGGTTGAGATCCTTAATCGGGTGAGCATCGACAAGCTGGGGGTTTCTATGATCAGAGAAACTAAAGGAGATGACCGTGTGGGTTCTAATATGATAGCTGCCGACAACCAATGGATGGATGACTTGCTGAAGTACCTGGTGAGTGGAAGACTACTAGAACACAAAGACCACGTTTGGAAAGTCAAACTTAGAGCACCCCGGTTTGAGGTTATTGACGGTATGCTATACAAGAGAGCATTCGGGGGACCACTCCTGAGATGCCTAATTAACTGGGAGGCAGAAAGGGTGATTGCAAAAGTCCATGAAAGGGTATGTTCAGCACACCAAATGTCTCACACCCTCTCCCAATGCCTCATTTTGCTGGGCCCACAATTGTTCAAGATTGCGAGAGATACATGCAGAAATGAAGAACGTGCCAAGTGTTCGATAAACACCCAAGTAGGCCATCCACATATTATGATCCCGTATCGAACGTCATCCCGTTTGCACGTTTCAGGGTGGATATCATTGGGGCTTTCCCAATAGCCTAAGGAAGGAAAAGGTTTGTGATCGTAGCCATTGACTACTTCAAAAATGGGTGGAGGCTGAAGCATTGGCAAATATAACCACGCAGCAATGCAAAAAATACATATGTAAGAACATCAGTACAAGATTCGGTGCACCCAACCTCGTCATGGACCCCGGCAGTGGCGGATCCAGAAATTCAGGTAAATGGGGGCACAATTGGTTGGGGTAGCGCCTCTAATATTTTTTTAAAAAAAAAAGACAATTTGAAATGACAAAAATAATAAATTTTATTTTAAACATTTCTTGAATGTAAATTTTATTTAATCGGTCATGTAAAACTTTATTTTAAACAATAAATTAAATGCAATAAAATACACTTTACTTCAATAAAATTAAACAAAAAATTAAAAATTAGCTTAATTAAATAAGTTCCATTCATTTTTCTGGGGAGTAAATAATTTGAGATCGGGTCATTCCCAATTTTAAATGGGGGCATGGAACCCAAAGTATAATAATTTTTTGTTTTCAAAAAAATTGTTAGTTTAACACCAAAACTTAGTTGGGGGAATTGGCCCCCAATTATTTCCAAGTATATCTGCCCCGGGACACTGGCCCACAATTTAGAAATACGAAATTCACCTAATATTTGGAGAGTTTTGGCATCAGACAAAACCGTTCTTCGGTGGCATACCCCTAATAGAAAGACCAAGTGGAAAATGCCAACAGAACCATAGTTGATGGTTTGAAAAAATGACTAGGAGTAGCTGGGAACAAGTGGTTGGAAGAACTCCCACGCATTATATGGACCTACCGCGTGACACCTAGACGAGAACATAGAGAAAAACCATTTTCCCTTGCCTATGGGTGTGAAGTAAGATTACCGATTGAAGCCATATTCCCAACATTCAGGGAAATAAACTATCACCCAGAATAGAACGAAGAAGACCACTTGGCTGAGCTCAACTTAGTGGAAGAACGAAGGATTGTTGTAGAAGTCAAGATGAGTGGGTACCAACAATCTTAAAAAATATCATGAAAACAAAGTTGGCCCCTGATATTTTCAAGTGGGTGACGAGGTACTCTGGCACCGGGAAGCTAGTAAGCGTGGTGACGGAGGCAAACTTGCAAAGAATTGAGAAGGCCTGTAGCGAATCAGCGTAGTGGTGCGTACTGGTACCTACAAGCTAGAGACATTGGAAGGAGAAGCCATTGAAAGGTTTTGGAACTCACACCACCTAAAAAATTTCTACAAATGATTGTAATACTAGGCAAGGCCTATTCCAATTTTAATAAAGCAAATTTCAAACGGCTGAAGGAGTACCCAAGCCGATCGCATCCAACCGGGTCTGCTAACTGAGACACCGGCCCTGACCTAGCACGCTGGTAACGACATCGGTCTTGCTCAGTATAATATGAAAAAAACAAATAACCTCAGAAGAGGGGTATGCCTGCAATCAAGCTGGACATGGAAGAAGGTTTGAAATCGTACTTACACGGTCTCGAAAAGTTTGACCGGGAAGGGAGAGCATCCTGGAATAGTCAAACCAAGTGAGGATTAAAAAAAAAGATGCCCAAAAAAAATGAGAGGAATCATTCATCGCAATGGTTCCTAAACCCACCGGGTCAGTATCCCCCTTCTTAGGGAAGACTTGAACGTGCAATGGGCCTAGGCCATTGACTCGGGAGGATAAACTAGAAAAGGGCCATTAAAAACATAATCACCCGGAAGAGGGGGGCCTAAGAGAAGGGTGCATTTGAGCCTTAAAGGTGGCTCAAAGCTGGTTGACATGATTGAAGTCTCTAGTGTTATGACCGGGTCATAACACTTCGGAAAATTGCTTGGTTACATGTGCGCCCACCTACAACCTAATTTAAAAAAAACACACCCGATTGTGTATGTTTACCGTGGTCCTCAAATCGAAAGCGTTACCATTCTGCAAGACGATTCAGCCAACCGGGTTGGCTAACCCATCACTCATCGGTTCTACAAGGTTACCATTTTGGAACAATGTGGAAGGATAAATGATAAGTAAAAAGTCCTCTTTTATTGGGGTGAGGCAAACAGACTAGAATTTTCACCTTTTGAACATCAAAGCAAGAAAATTGTAGAGATCTATGGAGAGGAATGCAAGCATTAAGGACAAAACATGCATAAAGAATATATCACCAGGATATATGAAGGAGTTCAAAATCAAAATTGCAAAAGATTAAACGTTGATTACATTTTCACCAGGCATACCCGAGCGAATAAGAGAAGTTCAAAAAAATTGCATCAAGAGGTTTAAATCAGTCAAGGGGAAGGGTGGAACATGCTCTTCTTCCGGTATCTCCAAGAGGCCATAGGCCTCATAGTTGAAGGACGAATCACGCTCGGCCAGGACTTTGTGGGTGGTGGCTCTCTCCTTCATTTGGCCCATTTGAAACTCATAAGAGCCCAAGTCTTCGATCATCGTCCTCCCCTTCAGAACCTGGAAAAGGACTTTAGAAAAGTCCATGGCTGACTCACGAGAGGGGATCAGCTCCTCCAGGTGCTCCCTGGCCCATTCCGCCGCTTCCGCTGGGAAAGAGGCCTCCTTCAGCTCCCATTCCTCCTTCAGCCTGGCAACTTCTCCCTCCATCTGGGTGACCTTCCCCCCGTTCCTTCTCTTTCTCCCCGGCCTGACGGAATAAGTTGGACATTTCTTGCTTTTGGTTAGTGAGGAAAATTGCCAATTCATTCTTCTCCACTCTCTCCTTGCGGATCTCGTCCTTCGCCACATTTAGCATTGCCTCCAGCCGGGTGATGAAAGCAGACTGATCCTCTAGAAGCAATCACCATCTCTTGGCTAATCGTGCCAGCCTTTAGAATAAACGATTGTTTAAAAAAAGTAACCTTGAGGAAAAATGAAGATGAAAAGAAAATATTACCTCACGAAGTCGCATAACATCTCGAGCCCAAGATCCTCCACGGAGAGGGACATCATTCGGGGATCCCTCCGGACCTTTTTGGAGGAGGAGCCAAGAAGGGCATCAGAGGACCTCTTCTCACCCCGATGCTCCTTCATTTTCTTCTCCATCTCGCATCCCAGGGATTTTTCCAGCCTCTCCTGTGAGGGATGCCTCTCATCCTCAAAGACGATCTCAACAGTGTCGTCCTGAATGGGGATCAACCGGGAGGTAGCTCCCATGTTCTCTAGATGAAAATCTGTGGAGGCTGGTTGGGAGGAGCTGAAGCCGGCCAAGGCAGTGAACTTCTTGGTGGGCATGCCAAAGTTGCGGAAGTTCATGTCTGTAAAGAGATTAAACCCAGTTAGATCCCTTTGGATGGATAAAAAAAGTTCAATGTAAATAAAACACGAAGGGCAAACCTGGGGGGAACAAGCACCCGGCCTCTGCTTCATTGCCCGGGGTTGCTACCTCGTGCCTTTCCGCATCATAGGTCGATGAGGTACCATCCGCACCCTGGTCTATCCACCGGACCCAGCTCTAAAAATGGAATTTCCCACCGGTGTCCGGATCGCCCTCAAGAAGCTTCTCCAAGGCCTCCTCAAGGTTAGGAAACTCAAAGGCAAGGCGAATTCATCTCGGAGTAGATGATCGCCCCATCGCAGGCTGGCGAAGGGGAATTCATCAACCGGGAAGTCAACAAAAAGAAAGGCAGTTTTCCTCTTTTTTTCTGGATGGAATGTCCAAGATAAAAGTTCGACCAGGTTGAGTGCTTAACCATCAGGGAGCAATTGCCTTGCTTTGTTCAAGGAAACCTTTGAAGTCTGGAGGTGAATCCCTCAGACCAGATCCATTGGGAGAGGGAAGTAACCGGCTCTCCTAATCCGTCTTTCCCATTGCTCTTGGGTCTCGGTCATGGGGTCATATGGCCCAAGAACCCGGTTCAGCAGTTGGGCGATTGGAATCACAATGCAATCGGGGGCCGCGTTTGACTAGACGGGGGGAGAAGGAGGATGAGAAGGAGGTTGAGAAGAAGAATGGGGAGAAGAACGGGAAAGATATCTGAGGAAGACATGACCGGGAAAAGCGGAAGGAACAAGGACTTACTTGGTTTGCCGGAAAAGGAATTGGAGGACCGACGGAGGACGGAGGAAACTTGCTTGGAGGACTTAACGGACGCTGAAGGCTCTCGGAAGGAAATGCAAAAGTGGAAGATGAAGAGAGGGAGAGGCCCTTATATATTGGAAAGGGCCTCGGTTCCCTTAATGGGCCGCCCATATCTACAAACCAGAAGAGAAAGAGGAGAAATGATTACCTGCCGCACGTCATGATTGTTAGAAAAACGTCCCAACGCTAGAGGGGGGGTGAATTGCGTTTGAAACGAAAATGACGCAGGGATAAAAATTAAAAGCGTTAAGTAAAGGGCAAGGAAGAGGAACATCGTTTTTACCCTGGTTGACCACAAACTGTGGCTAGTCCAGCCTCCCGAGAGACTCTCTCGAGCTACACTATCAATGTTAAGCTTAACAGTGCTTAAGAAACCCGTACAACTTGAGAGTTCGAGTCACACGAACCTCAACAATCCTTCGAAGGAAACAACCCTTCCTTCGATCTACTCAAGAGAAAAGCTTTCTCTTAACAAGTGTCTAAAACACAAAATCATTCAAGAACGATACTCTCTTTTAGAGTGGATATTGAGTAACTAAAAACGCTCAAGAACACATTACGAACTTCACAAAAATGGCTCTCGAAAAGCTATGAATAATGTATGAATGAAATGCAATAAAATATAAGAATTGTGAAGTAATGTAATATGTAAAGCAGACTCAAACACCCCATTTTATAGTAAAACAATAGGCTCCAATGGGTAGGAGTTGAATGGGGGTGATTGGCACAATATGTGGGATTTGATTAAAATTGGATCTGCTGAAAATCAGCTTGACAGCGTTGTCCATACCTTGAACATCGTTGTTGTAGGCTTAGTTTTTGAAAAACAGGAAGCAACGGTCAAGCCAACAGCGATGTCCAAATAGCCTACATCGCTGTTTTTGTTGTTGACTTCCAAACATGGAATGTTTTAGCCATAAATTCCTTTCAACGGTCAGGTGCCTACATTGATGTTCATTACTTGAACATCGCTGTTCAGGCCTGACTTTGAAGGATGAAAATGGCTTGACATCGCTGTTATTGGGTCAACATTGCTGTCCAAAAACTTTCTGCCAAAGGCATTTTCTTTTGGCTTAGGTTGAACATCGATGTAGAGAAGTCTACATCGCTGTTCCAGATGTTTCTGGAATTCCAACCTTGGCTCAACAGCGATGTCCTATAACCAACATCAATGTTGGAAAACTTAACGCCAACCCATGTGCCCATGCCTGGTGGTCCCAAAGTGGTGAGATACAAAGTCTAGAGGGGGGGGTGAATAGACTTTGTTACAAATTTAAAAACTTTTTCGTTTCTTTTGAAAACGTGAAATTGAGTGTTAACCTAGAGTTCTTGTTAACTTTAGATTGTATGCGGAAGTTGGTGGGTTATTAGAGCAGTAATCAATACAGATGGGTTAGTTTCACAGTTAATATAATTGCAAGTATGAGTAAAGATAAAAGAGAGTTACACGCAAACTTTAACGAGGTTCGAAGGTGGGGTAATCCTTCTACGTCCTCAAAATCCACTATGTAGTTGGTTGTTGAATAATGAACCAACAATTACACTTGTGTGAATTTCTGCACGGTATATCTTCGCAAGGCCAATGTTGTTACTGCACATGTGCTAGCTTTGTTGTTCCTTCGAAGGTCACGCTTCTTCAACAACTGCAAAATCCGAACAATAGGACTTGCAAGATCAACTTGTAGGAAAGTTGATCTACCCCCTTTTTAATCAAGAAGTTTGATTAAAAGTTGTATCGTTCAACGTGGTGTGGTACTTGAGGCAAGGAAACCTTCAAATGTTTACACTATAGCTCTTTGGAAGGAGGAGAAGTTTGCTTCTGGATAAGGAGTTTAGAAATCTCTCTTTATCAAACTTTTTGGCTAACTGTGAATGAGTAGTTTGCTCATTTGTATCTGCTTCGTAGTTATTGTTTTTTTTTCAGTCTTCCATGGAAGCTATATATAGTTGGATTGGATGATCTATCTGTTGAAGGGAATAGACTATCCGTTGCATTTGCTGGCTTCAATTTGAATGAGGATTGTGATTGAGGATTCTTCATTGGAATGAGTGTTTGGACATACCCAATTGTTTGAAGAAGAATTCCTTTTTCACAAAATCCGTCCTTTAGCTATTGTTCAAGAATTCTGGACTGTAGCTCTTTATTGAGTTGAATACTCAGTTTGTCTTCTTGTGTTTGTTTAGGAATTCTAGGCGAGCTCTTCAATTTGAGACGTCCAGACTTTGTCTTCAAGTCATTTGTTCTTGAATCAGCTTGAATATCCTCAATCTAGCCGTTGAAAATCAAGAGATTGATTTTTCCTTACCAACGGGTAGAATTTCTTCATTCAAGACTTAGATAATTTTTCTAAGTCCATTCTCACTAGTCTACTTCTGAGAGATCCGGTCTTCCTTAAGGCATCTGGTTCTTTACTGACAATTCCGGATAAGTCATTCATAGACTTTCAGGTGAGAAAGAGATCCGCGCTAGTCTTCCGATCCAGATGACTTAGCCTTCAGTGGGTTGTAGCGAGACATCCGGTTATTGTGGGGTGTTCCGGATTAGAGAATCTTCAAAGTAACCAACTGCTTTGAGAATTCCTTACTTGTCTCTGACATTTCCGATCAAGAATTCCAATTTCCATATCACTGAATTTGATTAAGTCTTCAAAGATTGATATCAAACCACAGAGTGAAATATCACAACTTTATTGGAAATCTCAAGAACTCGGTTTTAACAATATTTCTAAAAAGAAAAATTACATTAAATATTGGGGGTGACCTAAAGTCGTTATTACAATCTAAATACATCATCATCAAAATCTATAATATTTTTCCCAACAATTTCCCCCTTTTTGGTGATAACAAACAAGTGTTTAAGAGTTCCGGTCGCTGTACTGAGAACTAATTTTATAACTTTCTTTTAGTTTCTCATAATATACATCTTGTTAACAAAAATTCTTAAACAAATACAATTCAAATTACAACAGTTCCTAAACCAAGTCTTGTAAGAACGTGCTACTTTGAAAAAAAGGGACTTTCTCTCTCTAACCATGGGAAGGAGAGGGCGACCGCCTAAAACTGACGGAAACACCACTGGAGAAGATGCTGAGAAACCTCCGACGGAGGATAAATTGGATGCTATACCGGTTGACCCACACAGCTCATCACCGATCCTGAAACCATCGGTTGCAAATCCAAAATTGCATCAAAATCCAGAAACATCCATACCAACGACACCTGTTGAGAAACTAGAAGATGTCACAACGCTGAAGAAAAGTTTTGCTGAAGCTGTAGGCATCCAGGATAAACTCAATTTCAATCTGAAATTTATACCGATAGAGTGCATCGATGGAATAGCTATGGCGAGATTAACACAGGAAGATGTTGTTGATCCCGGTAAGTATTGGGATTCTGCCTTAGTTTGCTGCATACTTGGGGCAAATCCTCTAGAAATTGTCAAAGGATTTCTCCTGAGAATCTGGAATTCATACAGAATTGATGATATAACATTCCTAAAAGAGGGCCAGTTTATAGTGAGATTTCAGAAAGAGGAAGATAGAGATGAGATCATTAAAAGAAAATATTACTATATGGATAATAAACATGTCTATCTTCAGAAGTGGTATCCAGGATGCAAGGTAAATGTACTAGAATGCACTGATGTTCCTATTTGGGTTCAATTTCCTGAACTAGACACGAAGTATTGGGCAGCCAATTAAAAGAGATGGAGCAACTGCTGCTAGAACCAAATGGTCGTATGCCAGAATTCAAGTCGAAGTTAAAATTAATGAAGTATTTCCTGAGCAAATAAATTTTTTGAACGAGGAAGGGAGGATTATTACACAATCAGTGACATATGAGTGGGCTCCAACTCTCTGTTCTCATTGCAACAGAATAGGCCATGTGACAGAAACCTGTAGGAAGAAGAAGATAACAACTGAGGGGTACAAACCAAAAAGAAGGTCATATGGAGACCAAAATCAAATCAAAACAAAGAAGCTCAGGAAGAACAAATCCCAATTCCTAATCCAGAGCCTAAACTAGGGGACAAAGCTACTAATGAGGGTATTGAGGATATACCCAAAACAGTAGGACACACAGAGGATGAGGAGGGTTTTAAAGAGGTCTCTAAGAAGAAAGCAGCTAGAAGGATATCACTAGAAGGGAATGAATCTACCTATGTTGGTAATTTACATAAGGATCTCAGCTTAGGCCCGTATAAGGGTCACTACCCTTTCCTCTTATGATAGGTTGCTGGAACATAAGAGGGCTAAATAGCCAGAATAAACAGTATGAAGTTAAGAGTTTTATTAATAAATTTAACCTCTCGATCTTAGGCCTCCTGGAGACTAAGGTGAGAGATAATAATTATATACAAATAAAGGAGAAGCTGGTGGGAGGATGGAGGTCCTTCATAAATAATAATGCCCATCCTCTAGGAAGAATTTGGGTCATTTGGAATCAGAATAAGGTTACTATTACAGTGCTTGGAGTTACTGATCAAGCGGTCCACTGCATAGGAAGATATATTGGTGAAGATGTTTCATTCTATCTAACCTTTGTGTATGCACACAATGATATTGAAAGAAAAGGAAGAAAACTTTTGGATATGTTGGGAGAGTTTGGATTTTGGTGGAGTCATCCAGGGGTACATCAGATGAGTTGGGTTTGCGGTTCCTAGAACATTTCGCAGGGAACTACCGACCCAAGAAGCATTTCACTCACCTGGCTTCAGTACGGCAGAAGCACAGAGAATCCTTGAAGAATTTCCTAATACGGTGGAGGAAAGAGTCCAGGGAGGTTGAAGGAACCGACGATAAATCCAGGTTGGCCATGTTCACGGCGGCATTACAGGATGGTCTCCTTCATACTGATCTTACAACTCATCCCCCGGATACCTTTGAAGAAGCAATGGTCCGGGCCGAGAGGTATGTTACCCTTGAGGAAAGGAAGGAGGAGAAGAAAGAGAAGACTCCCAAAGAAGAAGAAAAGGCAGGAAACAAGAAGCCTTTCAAGAACAAAAAGCAGGGCTTCCCGGATGGCCCAAAGGGCACAAACCCTGGGACCTCGGAGAAGCACAAATCTGCCAATCCAGTCTTCACATTGCCGGTGGCTGAGGTCATGGCCCATGCTGCACAGCAGAGACTCATGACTTATCCAACCTATTCCCAGAAGGTCTGCAATGTGGAGGACACTGGAAAGTGGTGTGCCTACCACCGCAAGAATGATCACAACACAGAGAATTGCTACACTCTAAAGAATGAGATGGCGAGGCTAATCCGCCGGGGCCATCTGAAGAAGTTTGTACAAGATGGTGACGCGGGAAATCCCAGGAACGCTCAGAATGGGAAGCGTAGAGATAAGGAGGTGGCCCAGGCTGAGGCCCGGGAAAAACGCCACATCGGGCTTGAAGATGAAGAAGAGGACTCTGAGCCTGCACCGCACCGCCAGAAGAGACATCATGGGTGTAACTTCATCATTGGAGGGAATACTGGCGGAGACTCGGCTACAAGCCGGAAGAAGTGGGCCAACGCAGCAATGGTCAATAAGGTGCTGGCCCTGGAAGGTAAGAAGCTGAAAACTGAGCCAATTGTATTTCCTAATGCTGATTTGCCAGAAACACGGGTCCCCCATAGGGACGCCCTGGTGATCACGATTGATATAATGGACTTACTGATCCACAAAACTCTAGTGGATACGGGAAGTTCTGTTAATATCATGTATATGGATACTTACAAGGCTCTTGGTCTGACAAGAGATAAGTTGTCACCCATTAGGACTCCGCTGATCGGGTTCACTGGCAACTCTATTGAGCCGGAGGGGGTAATAACCCTCCCGGTTGAAATAGGGGATACTAAGGCCACCCGGAAGTTGGATATGGAATTCGTTGTAGTGGGGATAATCTCCAATACAAACATCATCCTGGGCCGACCCGGGTTGGAAGATCTAGAGTGCGTCATCTCACCTCATCATCTGTGTATAAAGTTCCCGACTCCCCACGGAGTTGGAATCGCCAGGGGATCCCAGAGAGTGTCCCGGGCGTGGTATTTGAAGGCAACCAAACAGCCTATCAAGTACGACACCCAAGTGGGGGAGGTGACTGCACAGCTCTTAAGGGCCGAGGAGAGACGTCCCAGAGTAGAAGTTGCCGGCGACATTGAAGAGGTAGAACTGGAACCGGGCACGCCGAGGAGGTTGGTCAGAATTGGAAAGGGTCTGAGGGCTGAACTCAGGTCACGAGTGATCTCAGTCCTTAGAAGGTTCAGGAAAGTCTTTGCATGGAGTCCAGCTGATATGCCAGGGCTGGATCATAAGATTGCAGTCCATCGCCTTAATGTCCTGCGAGATGCTAAACCGGTGAAGCAGAAGCGAAGGCATTTGTCGCAGGAAAGGAGAGATTTCGTGAAGAAGGAGGTAGCAACCTTGCAGAGCATTGGACATATCCGGGAGGTGCACTACCCGGATTGGTTGGCGAATGTAGTTCTGGCACCTAAGCCCCCTTCGTGGAGAATGTGCATCAATTACAAGGATTTGAACAAGGCGTGCCCAATGGATCCGTTCCCACTCCCCAACATTGACCAGATGGTGGATGAGACTATCGGATCTGAGTTAATGAGCTTCATGGACGCTTTCAGTGGCTACCATCAGATTCGGATGCACCCGGCTGATGTGGAGAAGACCAGTTTTATGACCCCGGAGGGGTATACTGTTACTTAGTAATGGCATTCGGACTGAGAAACTCCGGTGCAACATACACCCGGATGGTTTCTCAGGTTTTCAAAGCAGTCTTGGGGCGAACCATGGAGGCATATGTTGATGACATGATTGTCAAGTCCAAAGAGGCCCAAGACCATGTCCGGGACCTTGAGGAGGTCTTTGAAATCATGATGAAGGTAAATTTGAGATTGAATCCGAAGAAATGCACCTTTGCTGTTCAGGGTGGAAAATTCCTCGGGCACATGGTCAGCCGGAGAGGAATTGAAGCAGATTCGGAAAAGGTTAGGGCCATCATGGAGATGGACGAAGACAGCGAAGGAAGTCCAGCGGTTGACAGGGAGACTGGCGGCCTTGAATCGTTTCCTTTCAAAGCTGGCAGAGAAGGCGCACCCATTCTTTACCGTAATCAAGAAGAGGGCGACCTTCGAATGGACGCAAGAATCTCAGGAAGCATTTGAGGAATTTAAGAGATATCTGGCAAGCCCTCTGGTTTTACCCATGCCGGAACCTGGAGATGTCCTGACTCTATAGTTAGCAATTGCAGATTGCGCCATCAGTACTGTAATTGTGAGGGAAGAGGATAGGGCTCAACATCCGGTCTACTACGTCAGCAAGACCTTGAGAGACGCGGAGTTAAGATTATCCCGTCCGGAAATGGCCATGTTAGCGGTTTTCTGGTTGGCGAAGAGATTAACCCCGTACTTTCAGGCTCACCGGATTGTAGTTCTCACCAATGAGCCATTGGCGTCACTCATCCGGAGTCCGGCGGCATCTGCTCGGATGACCAAGTGGGTGGTCTTCATCAGTCAGTACAATGTAGAGTTCAGGCCGCATCCATCAATCAAAGGGCAGGCACTCGCCGACTTTCAGGTTGAGTGTATCTCGCTAGGGAGATGACAAGAGCCCGGGTCGTGACCAGGGTGGAAGACGACTGGTGGGTGATGAGTATAGATGGATCATCTAGGTCTCGATCTTGCGGAGCAGGTATTGTCTTGATCACTCTAGAAAATTTCCGGATATATTATGCTATCAGATTTCAGTTCCGCGTATCCAACAATGAAGCCAAATATGAGGCCCTGATCAATGGACTGAGAATTCTCGGCAAGCTGAGAGTATCCAGAGTTCAGGTATACAGCGGCTCCCGCTTGATTGTAGGACAAATCACTGGGGAGTTTGAAGCAAAGGAAGAAAGGATGAAGAGATATCGAGACTTTTCCTTGGAAATGTTGGCAAGATTCGAGTTTAATCTTGAACACATACCCCGGGCGCAAAACGCGGAAGCTGATGTTCTGTCCAAACTCAGCGCAGAATCACCAGAATATATAAGTAAATTAGCAACGGTAGAGGAACTCGCAACCCCGAGTCTTAATAGGGATGAATTGTTTTGGGTGTCGGCTGATCCCCTAGAGTGGTTGGACAGGCTGGCCAGATACATTGAGGACGGTATAGCCCCGGAGGACCCCTAGGAAGCTCGTTTGCTGCAAATGAGGGCACCCACCTACAAGGTGCAAGATGAAATCCTTTATAAGCGGTCTTACAGTGGTGTTTTACTCCGCTGTCTCAGGGCAGTAGAGGCAAAGGCGCTTATGGAAGAGATACACAAAGGAGTATGTGCTGCACATCAGGGCCCGTACTCTATCTCTAGAAGGGCGATTATCCAGGGATATTTTTGGCCCACAATGAGGAAGGATTGCGAGGAGTATGTGCGCAAGTGCCCAACGTGTCAACAATTCCAGAATATGCCCAGGAGGCCAGCCACGAACTACACGCCCATCAGCTCTGTGATTCCCTTCTCAAGATGGGGAATTGATATTGTGGGAGCCCTGCCAAAAGGGGTTGGACAGGCAAGGTGGATAGTGGTGGCCATTGACTACTTTACCAAGTGGGTGGAAGATGAACCACTTTCCGGGATAACCGAGAGGCAGATGATTGACTTCGTGGGAACCAACATACTTTGTAGGTTTGGGGTCCCGAAGCAGATCATATCCGACAACGGAACTCAGTTTGAGGAGGCAGAATTCCAAGACTTCCTCAAAACTTGGGGAATTCAGCATACAAAAGTGTCTGTAGCCTACCCTCAGGCTAATGGACAGGTGGAGAACGTCAACAAAACAATCATAAGTGGAATAAAAAAGAAGCTGCTTTCAGAAGGAAGCAAATGGGTGGATGAACTACCCAGAATCCTGTGGACGTACAGAACAACTCCAAGGAGGGCTACGGGCGACACTCCCTTTGGCTTACCCTATGGTTTCGAAGCCCGGGCTCCCACTGAGACGGTGATCCCTACCAGGAGAGAAATGGAATATGACCCGGAAGTAAACGAACAGAATCAGACCGTAGAGCTGAACTTTATAGAAGAACGAAGAGATGAAGCGTGAATCCGGGCAGAGAATTATCGTCACCAGGTGAAATCTTACTTCGACAGTAAGGTGAAACCGAGGGCGTTCCAAGTGGGGGATTACGTCCTGAGGAAGCGAGAGAAGAGTCAACCAACTAAGGGTGGGAAGCTGGCTAAAAAATATGAAGGACCTTATATCATCAAGGCTATCGTCCGCCCAGGTACCTATAAGTTGGTGACTCCAAAGGGGAAAGAAATTGATAGGACGTGGAATGTAGAACACTTGGTCAAATTTTATCAATAAAATTGTTTTGTAAAGCACTTTATTTTTTGGATTTGAGATATTTGTTTCAATACAATTTTCTTTCCTTTAAAGCCAAGTGTCTTTACAATTTCATTGTTCTATAAATTTCTTTAAAAAAAGGGGGGGGGGGAGAGCACCCCCGGGCGAGATAGACCCACATTACAGGGAGGTAGATAAGTTTATGCCACCTACTAAAAATAGGGGAGGTAGATAAGTTTATGCCCACCCCCCTCTTGATGACATTCAAAAGAATGCGAAAGGGTACCAAAGGGTTGGGATTGAAAGCCATTCCCGTGGACACCTTTCGGTCACTCCCAAGAAGGCAGGCAAGGAGGACAATAAGGCATGAGGGAAGGACTCAAGGCCTATATCCGCCTATACGGAAGGAGGAGGCGGATCCTGGAAGGTTCCGTCCTTTTCCCTGCGTCGTAGTCCCCCCATTCCTCAGGCTGCTGTCCATATGGCTGCTAAGGGGATGGAGACCCTGGGAGGAAGGCCTTGCGCCAGAGACCAACCGCGAAGCTCTTGAGTGAGGGCTGCGTCTCTTCTGGGGACGGGACGCGCCAGGACAGCAAGAAGAAGCACCTATCCTGGCACCGGCAGGAAGCACGTCGGAGTCCTGAAGAACACCGCCTGATGCCTGTTGGGGGAGATGAGGATGGTTCTCCTCCCTAGGCAAGGGAGAAGTCACCGATTGTTCAGAGGCAAGAGAAGGCCCAGAAGAGAGTTCAGGTGTTGGGGCCCCAAGTGAGGGAAATGCCAAGGAAGAAGAATTAGAAGAAGAATCAGAGATAGTAAGATCAATAAAGACAACCCGGTTGGCGTTATTAGCCATGTTGAGAATTTGATTGTGTTGGTGAAGGGGTTCAGCCTAGCCCCTTAAATAAGCGAGTAATCCTAAAGGAGAAGTGCAAGGGACCCGGTGTCAAAGCACTTATCCGATTAGGAAGCAGTTATGAATTCCCGAGGAAAGCTAGGGTTGCACCATTTCATTATTAGGCTAAGGTGAATTGGGCCAGTCACTTAGCGCAATAATAAAGGAAAAACAGCACTTTATAAGCATGGTTAAACCCAAAACTGAAGCGGATAAAATTCTGCTAAGTCCTAGAGAGAGATAAGAATCCCAAAAGGAGAAACAGTTTGCCCAAAGGAAGGAGTCTACAGAAACGTGGATATGAAAGAGATAATGACAAAGGATAAAATGTCACAAGCATTGTCGAGTTGCTACCATTTAAATGTTACAAAGTACTCCCTCCGTCCCAAAAAGATCTTCCTGTTTCATATTTTGCGCGTCTCATAAAACACTTCTATCCCGCCTCAAATGCAAAAAAAACTTTCAAAACAACTTCTACTTACAATAAATGAGAAATGTAGTAAATTTTAGGCATTTTAGATGGTGGTCAGGGCAGCCACCTCCCCTTGATGAGCAGCTATTGTCTTCTCCAGTTCACCCATCCTTGATCGGAGCTCGCGGGCAGTCTGTCTCTCTTTCTCCAACTTCCCGAGGATAAGCCGTTTCGCCTCTATGTGTTTTATCACGAGGTTGTTAAGATGGGAGCCCTCTTGCTTGGCGTCATGGAGGGAACTCTCAAGCTCAGAGATCCGGGACTCCCTTTCAACCAACTCAGTCTTTAGACTCCCTACCTTGTCTTCTGAAGCTGAGACCCTTGACTCTAGGATAGAGATTTGTGCCCGGAGTCTGTCAAACTGCGCTTCAAGGTCCTGGGTCCCCCTTTGGTAAGTAGTAATCTGCTCTTGCAGGGACTTGACCTTGGACCTTTCAGCTGCTAGTTCCATTGAGCCATTTGCCTTGAGCCAGGCATTCTCTTCTTGAAGGACCTGGACTTGTCGTTCCAGGGTGTCAACTTTCTACTGTAGAGCCGTGACAGCCAACTCCTTCTCCTTCAGGACCACCACGGCCCGGTAGTTCCCTGATGCTCAACCCAAGTATTCCTCAGTCAGGGTGAGGAGTGATTGTGTGGCATGGAAAGGGGAAGGGAAGTCAAGAAAGAGATAACTGAAAAGAGATAAAAAGATTCTTGAAAAGAAAGAGTAACTGCTCCATGAAGTGCAGAGCATTGAGGGCAAGCAAGTCTGGGCGTGCCTGGGGAATTGCAGGCTCCTGCACTGATTCCCTCATCTTCTCTAGATTTGCCTGGATAGTCCAGTGGGAGGCCTGTAAGGAGTTCAAACCGCGAGAAAAGCTTGCCCAGCCCTCCCTAAAGGCAGGGTAGGTTTGCGGCGTGAACTTGCGCCGGATGGGGAGATTGAAGGCTGGGGGTGTGACAGTGGAATGCTGTCTTTCTGGTTCCTGTTGTTTCTCAGTCTCTCTGTGTCTCTGGAGGAGCCTCAACACCTTTTTGCTCTTCAGCTTCTTTCTCCATCGTGGAGGAAGCATCCAATTCTTTCTGCACTTCAACCTCCTTCTCTCTCGCAGGAGAAGTCTCCGGCTCTTTCTGCCTGTCAGCTTCTTCCTCTATCCCTTGGGAAATGGTTGCGCCTAGTGGAGAGGTATTGATCACCTCAAGCTGAGGCTGCAGTGTAGGTCTTTTGAGTGCTGATTGGTCCAGAAGTTCATCCCCCTCACGATCTAAGTTATCCGGGTTGGGTAACTCCATACCTCCGGATGCGGCAGCAGGGGCGGTACTCTGGGTACCAGAAGATGTGGTCAGGGGGCTGGGCAAAGTGGGAGTACCCTCATACTTGTTCTTCTTGGGAAAGAAGTCATCATCAGTGACTCCTTCCCGTGGCCGTTTCTGGCACGGGGTGGGCTTTCTCAGTCCGGGAATAGCAGAGATGGGGACAGCCTCAAGGGCAACGGCCGACTGGCGAATAGCCAAGGCAGTGGAGTTACCTTGGGCCTGGTTCCCGGAAGAGATCTCGACTGATTGGATTCCACAACAGGAGGAGCCTTTGACCTTTTAGGGGAATACACCCCTTCAAACGGGATGGGGTCAGGATCCAGGGGGTAGTAAAGATCCGCCTTCTTGTATAACCTTGCGTCTTGAAGGGAGTGATGTGGAATCAAACCCCTTTCCTCTCTCAAGGCGTAGTATGCTGCCTCCGCCAGGGGTACTGCAGCGAACTTTGTCCGAGAAATAGAACTACGGAGAACGACACTCGACAGATCTAAGGGGTTGTGAACCGGGAACTCAACGACGAAGTAGCGGTGGGACCATTTGTCGTGTTTAAACTCAACCCTCTCAAAGATTAGAGCATGGGGATGAGGAAATAGGTTGTAATAAGGGAAAGGCCCACCAGTACTGAAGAAGATGAGGAATTCGTCCAGTGTCGGGGTTCTGTCCAGGGCACAGCACCCCAAGATATAGGACGCAACATACTTGTGCGCATTGGCGGTCAACTGGCCAGGAGCAAATCCGAAATGGCGGCAGATGTCGTGGAGTAGACCATGGAGGGGTAATCTGAACCCATTCTCCACAGAGTGATAGTGCATGACCATATACTTCTGAGGGTTTGGGTTGTGGGATAAACTAATTCCACCGACAGCGTCAGGATGGTGGACCCGGAAACTTTTGCCCTGAAGTACGGCCACTTCTCGAAGTTCGTCCTCCTTGATGATAGAGGATTCATGCGTCCAGGTTGCGGGATCTACAGGAGCCATTTCAGAGGAGGGAGAAGACGAGTCCATAAGGGGTTATATCCGTTGAAAGGAGGGACCCAAGGCACACGAGTGCGATGTTTCTAATCCGAAATGAAAACCGAAGGCGGCTCATCATTAGTTTTCTAGCGACATGTCGCCAGAAAACTAGAGGGCTTGTGATGGATATCGGGTCTGATGGACCCGACTCCTGGCCCAATAAAGGCCCATAATAGCGCAAGATGGATAAGGCCAGGTGGGGGGTAACGGGCCGAGCCCGCTACTACACGCATGGCGAATGGGAAAAGGACGGCCCAATCATGGATTAAATCAAGACGACCCAGTCCAAAGAAGGAACGGGACACGTGGCCCACACCACCAGGTTATGGACGAGATGGGAAGAGAACGAGACCGGAAGAGAGGGAATCACAACCCCATGATCTCCATAATTCCTCCCATTATGTATAATTTTAATTACAATGTTAGAAGTACTATAAAAGGGGAAAGAACCCACCATTGTAAAGTGGGACAACTCAAGCAATTCTGCACTTAATCAAAGAATATTATTACGAGATTATATCTTTCTGATTCATATTATGTTCTTAGTCCGCCATCCGATCGGGTTAATCCCATCAGATATTAATAAGAGGAAAGATCTTTGGGAATTTCTACAGAAAAGCACTGTAACCTATCCATCGTGTGTGTTGGGGGACTTTAACACTGTACTGAAGATGGATGAGAGAGTTGGAGGGAATCCTGTTAATTGGGAAGAAATTACTGAATTTTCTTCCTGTCTAAGTACATGTGGATTGGAAGACCTGCCATATGAAGGATCTAAGTATACTTGGTGCAACAATCAAGGGCTGGGGAAGCGTATATACTCAAAACTTGATAGGATTATGGGGAATGTTGAATGGCTACTCAAGTTTGATTTCAAAGCCTGTTTCAGAGAAGGGAGTGTATCTGATCATTCAGCAATGATCCTAAAAAAAGCTTAACATATCCGGACTGGCTACTCTTTTAAATTCTGTGATATGTGGACTCTTGATCCATAATTTTCTCTATTGGTGAGGGAAGTCTGGGATCAAGACATGGAAGGAACATCAATGTTCCAAGTAATGAGCAAGTTAAAGATTCTTAAATCATACTTGAGAAAACTCAACATGCAAAAAATCCAATACCTGGATAAACAAGCAGATGAAATCAGAGCCAAGCTTCTCACCATTCAATCTGCCCTGAAAAACAACACTTATGCTGAGCACCTGGATGCAGAGAGGGACCTAAGACAACAACTCCATATGAAGATGAAAGCTAGCTTTCTTCTGAGGAATCAACAATCTAAAGCTGAGTGGTTAACCTATGGAGACCAAGACTCCAAGCTATTCTATGCATGGTTGAAGAAAAGAAGACTACATAACCAACTAATTTCTATTACCAACCATGAGGGTCAACTTGTGGAGGGGAAGGAGGCAGTAGCAGAAGTATTAGTTGGGTATTTCCAAGAACAATTGGGAAAACCTAGTGAGACAACTGATATCAATACAGATATAGTGGGCATGGGGGGATGCCTATCTATAGAGCAACAACTGCAACTTATTGCACCTATTACAGCTGATGAAGTTAAGAAATACATGTTTGAAATCCCAAATCACAAAAGTCCAGGCCCAGATGGATTTTCTAGTGGATTTTTCAAACATCAATGGGACAAGGTTGGAGGACTCATTGTCAGAGCTATCAAAGACTTCTTTCAGAAGGGGGAAACACTTAAGCAGGTTAATGCCACCAACATTACATTCATACCTAAGATTGAGGATCCTAAATATCCTACTGATTTAAGGCCTATTGCATGTTGTAATGTCATCTACAAGGTCATATCTAAGATGATTTGTGGCAGGCTGAAGAAAGTATTACCTACTCTTATAAATAAAAATCAGGGAGCTTTTGTTGATGGGAGAGAGCTTGTGCACAATGTGCTTCTGTGCCAAGAATTAGCAAGAGGATACAACAGAAGGAGTATCTCCCCACGATGTCTCATGAAACTAGATCTCCAGAAGGCTTATGACAATGTGAGTTGGAAGGCGATTGAACAACTCCTCTGCCTAATGAAGTTTCCTTCAATGTTTGTTAAATGGATTAGCTTTTGTGTTTCTACCACTTCATACTCTATTCAACTGGAAGGAGAAAGCCATGGTTTCTTCAAGGGTGGTAAAGGCATTAGACAGGGCGACCCCATATCCCCCCTATTATTTGTTATAATTATGGAATATCTTTCAAGGACTTTCCAGTATTACGCAAAGAAAGGGAATTTCAGCTATCATCCTCTCTGTAAGTCTCTAAACCTCATCAACCTTATTTTTGCTGATGACCTCATAGTAGCTACAAAAGCCGAGGAAAAATCTATCACATGTATACTACTTGCTCTTGAACACTTTAAGAGTACCACTAACCTCTCAGTTAACTCCTCAAAATCGGAGGTCGTGTTTGGAGGCATCACTAACTTCCCCGTTTGGAAGATATGTTGGACGAGCTGCATGGCTCCATGATCTTTTCAAAAATTGATCTTAGGAGTGGATATCATCAAATTCGAATCTTTGAAGGAGACGAGTGGAAGACAGCGTTCAAGACGAAATTTGGGTTATACGAATGGTTGGTTATGCCATTTGGATTAACCAATGCCCCGAGCACGTTCATGCGGCTTATGAATCAAGTCTTGAAGCCGTTTATAAGTCATTTTGTCGTTGTCTACTTTGACAACATTCTGATTTATAGCAAAAATGAGGAAGAGCATGCTAGTCACCTCACCGTGGTGATTAAGAAGTTGGACGAGGAGAAACTCTACGGCAACCTCGAGAAGAGTCAATTCTTTGCGTATGAAACAGAGTTCTTGGGATATTTTATCTCAAGTGAAGGCATACGGGTGGACGAAAAGAAGATGCAAGCCATTAGAGAATGGCCGACCCCCGCCACTATGCAACAAGTTCGGAGTTTTCATGGCCTTGCCTCTTTCTACCGGAGATTTGTGAAGGATTTCAGCACCATCACGGCACCTATCACGGATTTGACGAAAAATCAGAAGTTCGAGTGGAACTCCAAGGCCCAACAGGCCTTTGAAATAATCAAGGAGCGATTAACACATGCCCCCGTGTTAGCCCTTCCTAGTTTTGACAAACTATTTGAGGTCAAGTGTGATGCCTCAGGAGTCGGAATCGGGGCTGTCCTATCCCAAGAAGGGCACCCGGTGTCGTATTTCAGCGAGAAGCTAAACGACACGAGAAGGAGGTATTCCACATACGACAAGGAGTTCTAGGCATTGGTGCGGTCACTTGAGCATTGGCGTCATTATCTCGTGAGCAAGGAGTTCATATTACATTCTGATCATGAAGCGTTAAAATACATTCAAGGGCAGCATAAGCTCCGGCCCCATCATGCTAAATGGGTCGAATACATCCAAACTTTCACCTTCACCATCAAGCAGAAAAACGGAACCATGAACAAGGGTGTCGATGCCTTGTCCCGAAGGCACTTATTACTAACGGTACTTAGTACCAAACTTGTTAATTTTGAATTTTTGCAGAAACTTTACAAAGAGGATGAAGACTTCAAGGACACTTATTCCAAGTGCCTTATTCGGCCACATGGAGAATTCCTAATCAAGGATGGTTTTCTATTCCGAGGCAACCAACTTTGCATCCCGAAAAGCAGCGTTAGAGAAACCCTTATTGATGAAGTTCACGGAGGAGGCCTAGCTGGTCATTATGGGGTCGATAAGACTCACATGATGATGAAGGAACACTACCACTGGCCAAGAATGGAACGAGACGTGGAGCACTTCATCAAGCGTTGCGACACGTGCCACCTCTCCAAAAGTCAGTCGCTGCCCGAAGGAAAGCATTTGCCCTTGACCGTTCCCCTTACTCCATGGGAAGATATCAGCTTGGACTTCATCACCGGGCTGCCGAGGACATAACGAGGCAAAGATTCCATCATGGTCGTCGTGGACCGGTTTTCAAAGATGGCCCACTTTGTACCATGCCTCACCACCTATGATGCTTCCCAAGTTGCCGATCTCTATTTCCGAGAGATAGTCAAACTCCATGGCGTTCCCCGAAGCATGGTCTCGGATAGGGACACGAAATTCCTTAGCCATTTTTGGGTGACCCTATGGAGAAAGTTGGGTACTAAATTGAAGTTTAGTACGTCGAGCCACCCACAAGCCGATGGTCAAACCGAAGTCACCAACCGCACCCTTGGAACACTCTTACGATCCCTCATCAAGAAGAACATCAAGCAATGGGAAGAGCTTCTACCGCACGCCGAGTTTGCCTACAACCGAACCCCGAACAAGACTACCGGACTATCCCCATTCACGGTGGTCTATGGTTCGAACCCCTTGACCCCACTTGAACTTGATCCGATCATCACGGAAACCAAATACAATTGGGAAGCGGATAAGCGGTCAAAGAAAATCCAAGACCTTCACGCTAGAGTTCGAGAGAAGATAGAGGCTATGAACGAGAAGGTAAGCGCACGCATCAACAAAGGAAGGAAAGACATCCACTTCCAAACAGGAGACCTTGTCTGGATTCACCTTCAGAAAGAGCGTTTCCCCACAAAACGCAAGTCAAAGTTGCTGCCAAGAGCCGATGGCCCATTTGAAATCATAGAGAAAATCAACGACAATGCCTATAAGATTAACCTTCCGGGAGATTATGGAGTATCAGCTACTTTCAATATCAAGGACATTAGCGCGTACTTCGAGCCTGAAGAAATGCCGAGTTTGAGGATAAACTCTTTTGAAGGCCGGGAGGATGATATACCCCGGGTTACTACCAAGGATTCTAAAGACGTTAAACAAATCAATGGAATAATGGCTAAGTGTTATGATCCCTTTTGGACCGAATTTGTCACCAACAAGCCCCACAACATAGCAATAATATCCTTGAACCCAGCCCCTCCCTAGGGCCAAACCAGCTTGGTAAAACCCAAACCCCAAAATATCCAAATAAACACTTAAACCCCATTGTCCTTTCCTTTTCTTCCTTCCACCCCTGGTCATTGTACTCCCCAAATAGTCAGACCAAACAATAACTGCAATCCAAAATAAGGACCCACAATTCCCACCAATCAACCAGGCCAGTGTACTCTCCATATTCCTCTCATAGAACCTCCAAAGTAGCCAGCCACTTTCCATCATTCAAACCCCCCCTCCTCTGGCCGAATAATCCCCATCCAAAACAGCCAAATAAGTGAATTACTTTCACATATATTCCTCTCCACTTATGGCCGAAAAACCCAGCCCCACAAGTACACCCTGTCCTAATTTTTGCTTCCCAATAAAAGTATATCAACAAGTGGCTATTATTCCATCTTTGATTTGTGTGAATAAGAGACTTGATAGTCTCCCTTGTATGTGTATAAATTCGGCCATAGGCCTTGCATTTTCAGCACATTGTATTCTCATTTTCAACTTAGTAATACACTTGTTTGTGTGTGCCACTTTAAATTCCTAAATCTATATCTTAAGAGTGGTTCTCTTGAGTGTGAGTTTTAGGTTCTAGTTATTTAGATAAGTGTGTCATATCTTATTTAAATACTAGACTCAACCCCAAGTTAAGATAAGAGTGTGTAATATCTCTTAACCCCAACTTGGTGACATCTATCCCTGATTTCTCTCCACCCCATATCCCTCCATTTCCCACACTAAAATCTCCCTCCTTTTCTTCCATTAAGCCTAAAACACCCTATTATCCTTTCTCATAACTTCCCCACATAACCTAGCCTTTTTCCTTCCATACTGAACCTCGGGTAACCTTGATAATCGATTATTCTTCACTGATAATCGACTATCATGCCCTTCTGAATCTTCTTGGCCTGAGCTACATATCCCATAATCAATTGTTGCTGTCTTGACAATCGACTATTTTCCCTTTCTGAACTCCCAAACTTCCTTCCCCAAGAGTCTGAACCTCTCGTTAGTCGATTACCATAAATTGATAATCGATTATTCCTTTCTCCTGCAGCTTAAGAGAGTTTGTTCCTGAACCTAAAGCCACGTCACGGAGCTCGGGTATAACAGAAATGATTCCTATTGGGTTCTCAAGGCCCAAAATAAAACTATCATTTTTCATTCCCCATAGTTCTAATTTCTAATTAGGACGAGGTAGTACCAAAAAAATATAAATTTCATTTTTAAAAGAAAAGTGGTCCTAGTTTTCCTAAGTCCTGTACATTAAAAATCCTAAGGACCAATACTTTAGAACGAGAGAGGAAATAAACTAAGAAACTCAATTTTAAGAAGGCAGATTTTGTAGAGTACCTGAATCGGAGATCAACAACTCTAGTACCAGAACTGAGGTATTCGTCTTCCATTTCTTAGAGTTTACCAGTAGTTTATTACCAAAAAGCAATTGTTAGCCAAAAACAGTTAAGTTCCCCCTGAATGTATGCGCTCAATAATAAATCTCAGAAATCATACTTAAAAGAAATATGTTCAAGCATAATTAAGAGATGTATCAAAATGTTAAACATAAACATTAGTTTTTGTTTAAACAAGAAGGTGTTTTCATCAAAACATAAATAACGTTTCAAGACTTCCCCCTGTTTTGATGAAAAGAGCCTTCAATTCTTCTTGCGCTTGGATGATCCGGCAGCTTCACCAATGCCTTGCATAACTCCACATTCTTCCTTGATGCGCTTGAGATTGTTATATCTCTCCTTTGTCTGAGAATCATTTGTGAAGTGGGAGGCAATGGTTCCTATAGCTTCTGTTCCATCAAACTCAGTGTTTGATAGATGTTGTATTGAGTTCTCCGGATTGCTTTGCTGGGCTTCCAATATTAGTTCCGTCATGTTCACATGAGTTGGAATGTATGCAATCTCTCCTTGTTTGACTTCAATCGGAAGTCTTGGAATTGGAGGTAGACTTTTGGGTTGGACGATTACTTCTAGCTTGTGTTTGGCAGTGAACGATCCAAAGTGCTTGAAGAGCCTGAATGCTTCCTTATGATTATCAGCAAGAACCCTTAGGTAATCTTGAATGACCACTTGGTTTGCTGATGTCACTGCCATAGCTGATCTGATGTCCATCTAGAGGAGTAACATCTGCTTCTGAAGATTGACTGTGACAGTGGCAATCTGCTGCTTGATTTTTGTGGCTTCTTTGAGTTGTAGGTGGAAATCGGAGGCATAAGCCATCATGGAATTGCTTACTGACTTACTCAATAGAGATATGATCTCTAGAGTTTTATCCACAGATTAGCTTCTCTTTGAGATTTGAGCAATACTTTTCTTCAGACTTCTCCAGAGTTTGCTTGTGTCTTTCTTCTATTTTATCCAATTCTTGCCTAAAAGAGCCTTTCTGAGACTCCATGGCTGACTCAATCAACCCTTGGATCTTCCTTGTCCAGGATTCCGGTATCTCATCCGGAAAGGTGGATGTGGAAGAGCTATGAAAGTGAAAATTGGTTACCTGATGTGAAGAAGGCACCCTTTGATAGAGTTGCAGTGGGAGGGATTCAGCATCTTCTCCTTGCTCAGCATATTCTTCCTTAATCCTTACAATTTTCACTGACTCTTCCTCTGTTTCTTCATTCCCATAGTTTGAGATGTCCCTAGAAAGTGAATCTCTGACTTCATCTTCAGTCTGTTGCTCAAAAATAGCAACTAGAGTTTTAGTGGCCTCCAGCCTAGCTATTTGAGCTCCTTCTTCAGTTTCTTTTGTGAAATCCTTACTTTGGCGCCTCCAACAGTGGACTCAATTACTGGAATTGTCCTCTGTGGATTCTTCTTCGATTGAACGGTTGAGACTTTTCCATTCTTGTAAAATTCAAGAACTTCTTCTTCATATTTGAAGCGAATTTCCATATGAAGGAATTCGTAGAGTTCCTAAGCAGCAATCATCTCCAAGTATGTCTGATAGAACGCCAGTGAAGAGCATTTGGCTTCTAATTTCTGGAAATGAACATTTGCGCCAACAACATTCATTTTTGAATTTTGGGAGAAAGAATCTGAAGAAATTAAGGTTCTTGAGATTTCTTGTGAGGAAGATGAAGAAGATTTGAGTGGATTGAGTGGGCAGTTGAGATCTGAATAAAGTGGCGATTGGGTTTAATTTTGGGTGATTTATGCGGCTGATGGAGATTGGGTTTTGAACTGTTCCCAAGGCCACGTGCCTTCCCATTTCTTTATCAAACGTGGTAAGTGGACTACCACATGTACTGCACTCAGTCTAACTGAATTAGACCAATTTTGTGAAGCAAATCGGAAAACCTGCTTCACTTAGTGGTTTTGTGAAGATATCCGCCAATTGTTCTTCAGATGAGATATACTCAATTTTGATATCCTTCTTTTCCACATGATCTCTGATGAAGTGATGCTTGACATCAATGAGCTTAGGGCGAGAGTGATGCACTAGATTTTGTGAGATGGCTATAGCACTTTGATTGTCACAAAATATTGTTACTCTGCTTCTGCTATTGATGTAGAGATGGAGTTTTGTTTCTTGCTGAACCAAGAAACAAGATTTCTGCCAACAAATTGACAAGTGCCTGATGTACTCTTCCGGTCAACTTTGCATCCGGCAGTCAGAATCTGAGTATCCCACTAACTCAAATGAGCTGCTCTTAGCATACCATAAACCCATATTCTGAGTTCCTTTAAGGTATCTAAGAATCCTTTTGCTGCTATTAAATGGCTTTCCTTTGGCTTTGATTGAAATCTAGCACAAACACCTACTGCATATGAGATATCCGGACGGGTTGTAGTAAGGTATAGTAGAGATCCAACTATTCCTCTGTAGAGAGTTTGATCAACATCCTTTCCATCTACAACCATGTCAAGTTTGGTGGATGTACTCATGGGGACAGAAACGGATGACTTCTGATCAACTTTGAACTTCTTGATAAGATCCCTTGTGTACTTGGCTTGGTTGATGAGAGTCCCTTCACTTCTCTACTTGATTTGAAGACCAAGGAAGTAGTTGAGTTCCCCCATCATGCTCATCTCAAATGTTTCTTGCATGAGGGTGGAGAACTTGGTGCAAAGAGCTTCCTTAGTTGAGCCAAATATGATGTCGTCCACATAGATTTGGACCAAAAGGAGATCTTCTCCATCTTGAAGTTTGAAAAAGGTCTTGTCAATGACTCCCTTGATGAATCCATTGTCTATTCGGAATTGAGACAATATATCATACCAAGCTCTTGGTGCTTGTTTGAGTCCATGTAACGCCTTTTTGAGTCTATACACTTGATCACCTTTAGTGTGTAACTCAAATCCTGGAGGTTGTTCCAAATAAACTTCTTCCTCTTGGTTTCCGTTGAGAAATGCGCTTTTGACATCCATTTGATAGACTTTGAAGTCCTTATGAGTAGCAAAGGCTAGAAATAACCTTATAGCTTCAAGTCTAGCAACTGGAGCGAAGGTATCATCAAAATTTATACCTTCTTCTTGACAATAACCCTTGGCAACTAACCAGGCTTTGTTTCTGACAACAACGCCGTTTTCATCCATTTTGTTCTGGAACACCCACTTTGTCCCAATGACATGTTGATGAGTAGGTCTGGGAACAAGTTTGCAAACATCATTTCTGGTGAATTGGTTGAGTTCTTCTTGCATTGCATTGATCCAATCAGAATCAGCTAGAGCTTCTTCAATGCTCTTTAGTTCTACTTGTGAAATGAAACAAGCAAGCATGGCTTCTAGATTCTGTTGAGAACTCCTTGTGTGAACGCCTGATTGAATATCTCCAATAACTTGTTGAGGAGGATGATCCCTTAACCAACAAAGATTGTGTTGATTAGGGTTGACTGGCTGATCTTGTTCAGCTTCTGGTTGAAGAACAGAGTTTGTTGGTGTTTCTGGATCAATTGGCACCTGATCGCCATTTTCGGAATTGTCGCCATGTGAGTGATCCAGGATGTTGAAAGGCTGGCCATGATTTCAGGTAGGCTCAGCACTATCTGAATCCGGATTTCTCTGTGAAGTCTTCAGTGGTAGACTTCTGAATGGAATGAACTTCGTAGGCTTCATCCTGTCTCCTTCATTGACTTCTTCATCTTTGTCTAAGAGATCCAGAACCTCTTTGGCAAGAAAGCTTCTGCTAGCATGGTTCTTACTGCTTCCTTCAAGGTTCTATTCCTTCTTTCAGCTACACCATTCTGCTGAGGTGTCCTTGCTGCGGATGTCTGATGAAGAATTCTGTTTTGTTCACAGTAATGAATGATGATTTCATTCAGGAATTCTGTGCCTCTGTCAGATCTGATCTTCTGGATGGTCTGACTTGCTTGGTTTTGAATCAGCTTCATGCAATTTGTGAGCTTCCCTTGAGTTTGCTTCTTATTATTGAGGAAGATTGTCTACGTGTATCTTGAATAGGCATCAACTACTACCAAGACATATTTCTTTCCACTTAGACTTATTTGTGTAACAGGTCCAAATAAGTCCATGTGAATAAGGCTTAGTTTCCTTGTAGTTGAGTGTGCCGGTTTTGCCTTGAAAGTGGACTTGACTTGCTTTCCTTTCTGACAAGCATCACAAATGCTTTCCTTCTTGTACACAGCTTTGGGAAGACCTTCTACTATCCCTTCTTTGGACAGCTTGTTTAGAGTTTTGAAGTTGAGATGACTCAACCTCTTATTCCAAAGCCATAGAACGCTAGTGTCACCTTTGCTGATTAGGCATGCTTCCTTGACATCGTCCCACATTACTTCGTAGATGTTTCTGATTCTCTTCCCAGTGAGAATGACTTCATTTGAGGAGATGTTCTTGAGGGATGCCATGTCCTTGCAGAATTCTAGAGAATAACCTTTATCAAAGAACTGACTTATGCTAAGAAGGTTATAGTTGAGACCTTCCACATAAGATATAGCCTGGATGGTTAGTCCCTTATACACCAGATTTCCTAGCCCTTTTGTAAGGCCAAAATAATTGCTTCCTCCAAAAGTAACTCTTGGACCATCATAGGGAATTAGATTGCTCAAAAGGCTCGCACCACCCGTCATGTGTCTTGAGCAGCCACTGTCTAAGTACCAGACACCTGGGTACTTAGTGGCTTCCTGCATTAAGAGGAGGAAGATTCTAGTACCCAATTCAGTTTGGGTCCGGAATAGTTAATGGTGTGTGTCCCCACATCAAGATTGAAGTTGGAGGGAATTTTCCTTGCAGCTCTAAACTTGTTGTGATTATAGTCATAGTTGTAGGCATAGAATATCCTACGTGTAGGTGGTGCAATTTCCTGTTTCCTCCTAGCAAACCTAGGTTGGTAAGACCTATAGTTTTGTCTAGGTTGTGCATAGTGTGACCTGTGATGGTTGTAACCATACTTAGGTGGAACAAATAGTTTCTGGGGTGGAGGATGATTATATCTTGGCATAGTCCTCCACTTCGAATTTCTTAGAAAATTCCTATCTACCCCATAATGAGTATAGCCTCGAGTATAGTGGGGATTAGAAGGTTTTCTTCTGAAATTGTTTCCTCTTTGAGGTGTGTCAAGCTTCCTATAGTTCTTAGGAAAGACTACCTTTTTGGGAACTTCTATAGGTTTCTCCTTCTCCTTACCTTTTTGCTTATTGGGTTTGGCAGTAGGTTTGGGAGGAATGAATGTTGTTCTCCCTTTCCTTTTGGAACTGGATGGATCAAACTCATGTCCTTCACGACCCTTATGTTTGGTCGTTTCAAGAAGCTTATCCGCAGCTTCTTTGGACTTTAGTATCCCTAGCTCCTTGTTGAGAGATTTCACCTTTTCAGAGAGAGATTCATTCTCAGCCTTAGTTGACTTTTCCGACCTTCAGTCAACTTGAGATTCTCTTCACTCAATGACTTGTTCTCTTCTGTTAAAGATGAATGTTTAAGATTTATTTCCTCAAAATCTTCCATCATCTTTTTGAACTTGTCAAAAAGATTTTCAGAAGTTGGTATGCTTTCATAAGAAGATGAACAGGAGGTTTGTGAAGTTACCTCTTGATCAGCATCATCCTTGGCCATTAGGCAGAGAGTGTCATCTTCTAACATAGTCCACCGATCCTCATGGTTGGACTTCTTAGCTCTGTGTTCCATGCAGATGAGAGCTTCTTCATCCGAGCTAGAACTAGATGACTCGTCACTTTCAGCTTCTACCATTGCCTTCTTCTTCTTCTCATTCCTTTCTCTTTCTCCGTACTTCTCCACTTTTGGGTACGGACAAGATGACTTCCAGTGGCTAGGTTTCCTGCAATTATAACACAAATAAGATTCGGGAGGGGAGTCGCTTACCTGTAGCTTTCCCTTGGATGGCCTTCTGACTGAATCAGCTTTCTTGAAGAATTTCTTGAACTTCCGGAATTGCTTGACCATCATTGCAAATTCCTCTTCGTAGTTCTCCGTCTTTGAGCTTGGTGGCTGGCTGGAGGAAGGAGTGTCACAGTTCCTTGGGCATGTCCCTTCGCTTGCTGGGACTCTGGGAGTTGTCACCAGTGCCGTGGGAAAAGGAGTGACTTGTTCTTCCTTCTTCTTCTTCAGCTGGTGCTCATAGGTTCTGAGCTCATCTAGGAGACCTTGGACAGTGTAGTTCTCCAAATTTCTTCCTTCTTCCATGGCTGTGGCTTTGGTGTACCACTCAGCTGGAAGAGACCTCAGTAACCTTACATTCTTTTCTTTGGGAGAAAGAACGTGGTTAAGTGATGCATGATCATTTAAAATTTTGTGGAATCTTTCATCTAGCATGTCAAATGATTCTCCGGGAAGCATTTTGAAGCTTTTGAACTTCTCAAGCAGAACCTCTATCTTCTGCTTTCTCAGGTCCTCTGATCCCTCACACAGCTTCCCAAGACCTTGTCATATCTCCATGGCAGTCTTGAGATGCTTGATCTTGGAAAAGGTGATGGGATCAACTATCTTGAAAATGGCTGCCTTGGCGACGTTGTCCATATTGTGCTTTTTGCAATCTCTGTCATCCCATTTCTCTTTGGGTTTTGGGATGTACTAGACTACATCTGACACTACAAAATTTTGCTAAAATTGCGACGGAAAAAATCTGTCGCAAACCCTTTGTTTTGGTCGCAGAGTTCAAAATTGCGACAGCTATGCGACCGAATCATTCCGTCACAAATAAATTGTCGCATTTTAGATATTTGCGACAGAAATGTCATTCTGTCGCAGTTCTGCGACGGTGTTAGAGACGGTCAAAGGAAATTAAGAATCTGCGACAGAAAACCTAGTCCGTCGCAAATTGCGACGGAATTTGCGACAGCAGATCAATGCTTTTTATTTTGTACCGTGCGACGGTATTTGCGACGGAATAAATCCGTTGCAAATAAACCAGATATCAGCAATCTGTTCTGCACCAGAATTCAGCAACCCAACAATACAATAACATTACAACAACACAGCATATAAACAACAGCATTGAAACATCACAGTATTATTCAAACTCCTTACGAAACACAAATTATTTCTCAATTCATTGTCAATCACAACACAATATTCATTAAAACCTAATTCAATCAAATTCATTTTCAATCACAACACAATGTTCAATAAAACACATAATCGTCATAAGTTGTTCATGCGACACAACCAATTCCTGAGCCTCCCATCCCATCATCAGGGTCTCGAGGTGTCGGAAGATTTCCACCACACATCATTCGAATTTGTTCAGCAACTGTCAATTCAATCTTATCTAACCTTGCCTTCATGACTTCGTTCTCCGCTCTCAACCGCTCAATCTCTGAAATATCACTAGTGCTCTTTCTTCTGCTTTGATATCTACATTTGAGGGGTTTCATTTCTTCAGCAAGATCTCCGACTCCCTTAATCCTATTCATTTGATCAAAGCCACCAACTAGCTCAAACCAAATCTCTTGATCCGTGACTTGAAGGCCTGATTCCTCAGCCATTTGTTTCAATTGTACAAAATCAGCCTGTATAATGAAATATATATTCAATATATAAAGAAAAAAATAGAGTATATGTAATTATCACATTGTGGCATTGTATTTAAATTTAAGTAATAAGAAGTGTGCATAATTCACATTTACCTCAAGTTGTGCATTTTCTGGATCTATCCATGTTTGTCCATCATGTTTCTTCGTCTTGGTGTGCTTGAAAGCATCCACCACTGTTACTGGAGCTTCGGACTTTTGAGCCTACAATATAAAAAACTTTATAAGGTGTTCAGAGAAAGGAATATTAATATGCATTGATTCATTCATTCATTACTTACTAATCGGGCAAGGTGTTCAGAGAAAGGAATCGACCCTCGAGTATAGGTCCCTATAGCTACGCCTTCATTCTTTCCCTTTCTTCTATTCTTTTTCTTCACTTCAGATTCTTGCTTAAATTCATTGGAATTCCAAAACTATACATATGTATAAGATGAGGATTATTAGAAGAAGTTATACATATAGATACATATAACCAATATGTTTTAGATACTCAATGCTATAATAATAATATGAATATTAAGAATATAACTTATACGTATAGAAAAATTGTAATACATTCAAAACTAAATCACCTTGTCCCAATGACCAATAAGCTCAGCAGGGGGCTTCTTGTGAACCACTCTCGCATTACGTTGATTATACGTAAAGCGACTATACAATCTCCCCGCATGATGCATAAAAGCATTCCTGACCATATCATAAGGAATGCGACGATCCCAGCTACAGTGTTTCTATATTCAAAGAAACCAAAGTTTATGTAGTTATACTTATTTTTAATATAGAATATTGAAGAGTTATAAGTGTAAATACGTATGAAAACCATGCCTGGAACTCTCGCCAGTAAAAATCTCGCGTCTCTGGCCTAACATTCTTCCACTTTGTCCCTTCAGGATCCCCCTCAGATAAAATGAGGGTGTGATTAGGTGGCACGCAGCAGTAGTGATCTTAACCCTTATATTATTTCAGAAAAACACATAAAAAAATCAATATAAGTGATAATGATATATTAACCTTTTCTTAATTTTCATCATAATTTACTTGCCATCATGAGCAATGTATACATGTTGATCCCTCACGAGTGGGTCCAACTGCTCATCCTCCTCATCGTCCTCCTCTTCTCGGTCATCAACATCATTTTCTCTGTGCTCACTCTCACTTTCGAAAGATTGTAAATTTGACTCAGGTACGAATGTGTGCGATCCTGAAATCATCAATACAAACATTATACATGAATGATTCAACATGAATAATTGGGAAGATAAATAATCCTACCAGCGGTGCTAGCACCAGAATGAAAAGGTGTGTGTGACGTGGGCGAAGGTGATGCTGATGCATCCATCTCAGGGGTGGACGTATTAACCGAGGGGTTGCTACAACCTGCTTCGGCATCGTCTCTGGATCGAGTCATGAAACTCTGTCGTAGAAGTCTCAAGCTATCCCTCGCCGAACTAACAAAAGATGGCGTCTTCGAGCTCTTTTGCTTCTTACCCTTGCCTTTATCTATCATCTGCACATACAAAACCACGGTAAAATAAGATATTTTAATTTCATTAGAAACAATAATATTAAGAATTGAAAATAATTGGCAAGTGAATGGGGAGATGTTCCATACTATTGAAGAACCCTGGCGGAAATATTTTCTCCAACTTGCAAATTATGATAGGAATGTCTTCTTCTAGCCTTTTAAGATCATATACAGAAGCTGTTTTGCTTGTCAAAGTTTTAAAGAAGTTACTTAGTTCTGCAATCACTTCCCAAACCACCTTTGGTAAAAGCTCTTTGAATCCAATAGGTATTAGTCTTTGCATAAACACATGACAATCATGACTTTTCATTCCGAACATCCTAAGCTTTGTTGGATCGACACATCTACCCAAATTTGAAACATAACCATCGGGAAATTTCAACTCTTTCACCCAATCTAGAAATGCCTTACGCTGTATCTTATCCAGTGTGTAACAAGCTTTTGGGTATTTTCCTGTACTAGGATCACGTTCCAAGTCTTTTCTTGCGCAAAAAAGTTTCATATCTTCTCTCGCCTTAACATTGTCTTTTGTCTTACCTTGCACGTCCATTATAGTGTTGAAAAGATTCTAAAAAACATTTTTTTCAATGTGCATTACGTCAAGATTGTGGCGGATCATGTTTCTACTCCAATATGGCAAATCCCAAAAGATGCTTCGTTTCCTCCATCCGCACGAAGTTAACTTAACGATGTCAGCATTAAGACTATCTGCATTTTCATCAAAAATCTTTCGTAGCCCTAAAAGATCAATCTCATGCAGTATCTCATCCCCACTCTTGTAGACAGGTGCCGATTCTGTCTCAACTCGTTTCTTGATGAAATTTTTCTTATCTTTACGAAATGGGTGATCAGTCGGAAGAAATCGTCGATGTGAGTCAAACTAGGATTGTTTGCCACCATTAGGCAATCTAAAAGACTCAAGCTGATCCATGCAAACAGGACATGCTTTTTTTCCAGATGTGCTCCAACCAGACATCATCGCATACGCAGGAAGATCACCAATTGTCCACATCAAAGCTGCGCGCATTCTAAAATTTTGTTTTAATGACACATCAAATGTATCCACACCTTCACACCAGAGCGCTTTTAATTCTGCAATCAGTGGCTGCAAGTACACATCAATCTTTTGCTTTGGATTTGACCTACCCGGTACAATTAATGAGAGGAATATATGTTCCTCTTTCATGCACATATTTGGAGGAAGATTGTAAGGCGTGATCATAACCGGCCAGCAAGAGTATTGAGAGCCTGATTTCCTAAATGGCTGAAACCCATCAGTGCACAAACCCAAACGAACATTTCGAACTTCAGAAGCAAAAGAAGGATGTTTTTCGTCAAATGCTTTCCATGCTTCAGAATCACAAGGGTGACACATTTCATCTGTGTTCGAGTGTTTATGTTCAGCATGCCAACGCATTGACTCGGCGGTCCGCTTTGATGTATATAAACGTTTCAATTGCGGTGTTAAGGGAAAGTAAAACATTTGTCTATGCGGGACTTTAGCCTTCTCATCTTTATATCGCGGCTTATTGCAAACCTTGCACTCAGTGAGACTTTCATCATCTCCCCAAATAACATGCAACCAAGAATGCAACAATGTATCTTCTGAACGGGAAGGCCCAACCCGTCAATTAGCTTCTTTGTTTGGTAAAAGCTTTCAACCATTGTGTTTTCCTCAGGAAGAGCATCTTTAAATAACTGACAAATTGTATTGTAGCACCTTTCTGAGAGATTATGTTCGGATTTAATGTTGAGTAGGCGTGCAGTTGCTGACAACTCTGACATCTTAGAGCACCAGACCACAAATCCTTATCCGCAGCTTTTAACATCTCAAAGAATTTTTTATACTCCGGATTTGGTTCTTCCTCAGCATTTAAGTTTGCGACAAAAGGGCGTGCAGCATCGTACACCATATCAATATATTGGTCTCTTCCTTCGGCTCTTGTCACACGTGTGGTATCCCCATGTCGTTCAACTCGTCGTCGTTTTGGGGGAACATAATCACCATGCTTTTCTCCGTGACAAACCCAATCATAATAATTTGGAGTGAAACCAAATCGCAGGATATGCTCTATAATGGTTGCATTACTTCCAAACTTTAAATTCTTGCATGACTTACACGGACAACGCATGTTATTCTTTGACCGATCAGCATTGGGATTCGAGAAACAAATATCCACAAACATCATGACATTGTCAACCCATTCTTTACTAACTACACCTTCGGAATCAAATTTATTATACATCCATTCACGATCATCAAATCCAGACATTGTAGCATTAAAATCAACACTGTTTGATCAAAACAAGCACAAATTGAACAATGCAAATAACTATCAACAATTTGAATTCATTCACAACTTAAAATGTACAAAAAAATACCACCAACGATACCCAAAATTTTAAGATAAGTTAAGAAGTTTTTTAATATAAAAACTTTAAAAAAATTCCTAGAATCATATCAAATAAAATTTTCCTACAATCATATAAAATAGAAATTTCTTACAATGAAATCAAAATTTCCTATTATAAGCATATATGATTTAAAAAATGGAATATAAAAAAGCATATGATAAATTTCTTGGAATAAATTTAATTCACTTCAATTAGCAAATTTAAAAAAAAATTGCAAAAATAATAAAAACTTTAAACACAATACTTTTTTTAATAATTTACAGTGAATCAATTCATCATTATCATGCAATTACAAGAAAAAATGTTCAAGGTAAATTTCACACTTCAATTGAGGGGAAACAAATTAGGGTTAGAGTAGGTGTACCTTGGGTCGGCGGCCGGCGGACGGAGTTTAGACAGTATGTGGGTCGGCTGACGGCGGACGTGGCGGCGTTGGAGGTCGGAGGTCGGAGGTGGAGCTGTAGGCGGCCGCGGCGGAGGGCTTTCCCTTTCTACGTCGTTCGTCTCTACGTTCTGCGTCTGGTTGAGAATGAAAGAGTTCACGACTTCCGGGGATAAGATTTTAATTTAAACCTGCGACGAATCTCATTCCGTCGCCAAAACCGTCGCAGACAATGGTCAAAAAAATTGACCGTCAAATATTAGTGACAAACCAAACTTGCTGTCGCAGATCTGCGACGGGTAACCAAATTCCGTCGCAAATATTCCCATAAATTAAATTCACTTGTTTTTGTCGCAAGTTCTGTCGCAATTTGTGACGGAAAAATTCCGTAGCAGATAATCCGTCGCAAATTGGATTAAATCTTGTGGTGTGGGTTGGTTGGATTCCATTCTGGATTCTCCATTTGAATCTTCAAGGGTCCATTTTCAAGCACCATCCACATGCAATCATGTAGGGCACAGAGGTGTGCTTCCATCATGATCTTCCAATCATCATAACCTAGAAGGATTCCTTTTTCACAGAATCCGTCCTTTAGCTGTTGTTCAAGAATTCTGGACTGTAGCTCTTTATTGAGTGGAGTACTCAGTTTGTCTTCTTGTGTTTGTTTAGGAATTCTAGGCGAGCTCTTAAATTTGAGACGTCCAGACTTTGTCTTCAAGTCATTTGTTCTTGAATCAGCTTGAATATCCTCAATCTAGCCGTTGAAAATCAAGAGATTGATTTTTCCTTACCAACGAGTAGAATTTCTTCATTCAAGACTTAGATAATTTTTCTAAGTCCATTCTCACTAGTCTGCTTCTGAGAGATCCGGTCTTCCTTGAGGCATCCGGTTCTTTGTTGACAATTCCGGATAAGTCATTCATAGACTTCCAGGTGAGAAAGAGATCTACGCTAGTCTTCCGATCCGGATGACTTAGCCTTCAGCGGGTTGTAGCGAGACATCCGGTTATTGTGGAGTGTTCTGGATTAGAGAATCTTCAAAGTAACCAACTGCTTTGAGAATTCCTTACTTGTCTCTGACATTTCCGATCAAGAATTCCAATTTCCATATCACTGAATTTGATTAAGTCTTCAAAGATTGATATCAAACCACAGAGTGAAATATCACAACTTTATTGGAAATCTCAAGAACTCGGTTTTAACAATATTTCTAAAATGAAAAATTACAATGAATATTGGGGGTGACCTAAAGTCGCTATTACAATCTAAATACATCATCATCAAAATCTATAATATTTTTCCCAACAATGCCAGACAGCGATGTTGGTTACTCCAACATCGCTGTTGGGCTGGTTTAGCCAGACCCATGGCTGGTTTAGTCATGCCGTTAGCCGATATCAAAAATCTAAGTTCTCCAAGATAAAAACCAAAAGTTGAAAACATTTGTTTAATTCATTTTGCTAAGAAATCAAGTAAAACATCTTGAAAACCACGTCATTTAGATAAAAATCATGACTAACCAAGTTTACGCCATTTCGCATGGTGTTTACTAAACGACCAAAAACGAAAGGTGTTTTTTTGAAGCATTTTTGTTGGAGAACTATTTAAATATGCCCATAAGTAAAAACCAAACATAAAAAGTTGAAAACCACTTGGTTGGTTCGAACGCCAAAAACCAACGCCGATAACCGAATGCCGAATGCCGGTTTCCGAAGGCCGAACGCCGGATGGCTTGGTTTTTGGTTTGGGCGAACACTAAGTGTTTTAGGCTTATTTAAGACTTATGAAAACATTTTTGAATATACAAAAAGATATTTTAAGCCTAAAGAGCCAAGTTTAGAAGTTTGTGCTGGTCTTGATCACATTAAGACCGATTCAACGAATTTCTAAGTCTTCGTTCTTGGTTCTTGGCTCTCATTTTCAATTTATCTTCACATCATGTTTCTTCGCCTTTGATTTGCTCAATTTTTCTTGTTTTCGCGGCGATTTGGCATTATCAAAACCTATCATAAAACGAGCATGGTTTAGTACAACGTAGGCGTAAACACGTGTTCCAACAATGATTAGAGCCTAAGGAAGGCGAAACTACCCAACAGCTTCCAAGTGGGTAGTTGCAGTTCAAAATTTAAATTTTGATTTTTAAAATTTTGGGCGGCAAAATGATTGGGATTAAAAACCCAAACAACACCCAGATT